ATATTCCTTATTTTTTTTTTCCCAGCCCGCGGGGTCCGATCTTGGGGGCCAGAGCAGAGGTGGCGCCGACCTCCCCGCCGGTGCAGCGGAGATACACTGCGGGCACAGCAACGCGCGTCTCACGGAGCGGTCGCTTCATCCCCACCCCCTCCAGCCGGCACGTACCGACTTTGATCTCGTTAGGATCGAACTTAGGCGGCATGGCGGCGGCGGCGGGGCCGGATGGCGGTGGATGGCGAGGGGCTGCGGCCTAGCGGGGCGGCGGAAAGGAAGCGCGACGGCACGCGGGCACCGGATATACCCACCGAGATCTCGCGAGAGATGCGGGGCGGCGCGGGGCGGGCGACGCTCCCTCCCGCGGGCGGCGGGGACGCTGCGCAGAACTCGATGGTGGGAGGAGCGAGGCGCTCTGGCCGCTCCACTCGATGGTCGCTGTGGCCTGGAGGTCACGTGACCGCCCCCCCCTCTCAGGAGGGGCGGGAGGGAGATGTGGTGTCATGGCGGCGGGGAGCGGTGAGCGGGGCCGGGGCGGGCCAGAGGGGAGGGTCCGGCCCCTCGGGGCCTCGGCAGCGTGTGCGGGGCTCTTCTCCCCTCAGCGCGGAGACGCGGGGCCGGGTGTGCGGTGGCTCGGCGCCGGCCTGAGCCCCTCCGGAGGGGTGTGAGACCCCCGCGGGTCGCGCCCGGGCTCCCCAGAGGGGTGAGGGAAGGCGCCAGGGCACGATGAAGGCGCTTCTGCCGCCACCCCGGAGACGGGCGGCCGGTTTTTGGGAGGGAGCAGGTGGTGCCTGAAGCTGCCGGTGGGTTTGTTGCGGGAGGAGGCGCTGCCTTTGCTCATTGTCGCTGCTTTCCTCAGGTGCCGGGGCCGGTGCGGGCAGCGCTGGGGCCTTGGGGCACAGCACGGCTCCGCTCTGGCTGGTAAGAGAGTAAAGAAGAGGAGGACCCAGAAAGATAGCCTTTGGAAGCTGTGTGAGGGGGCCACCGCAGGGGATCCCTAAAGAGAAGAAGAGGAAGAAGAGAATAGTGACAATGAGGGAAAGGAAGGACTGAGAGGCAGAGCTGGAGCTGGAGGAGAAGAGAGGAGATGTGTCTTGGCCATTGCCAGGGGAGGGCATTGCCAGGATCGAGCAGAGCCTGGTTGTTGCAGGGGGTGGTACGGCCGTCCTGACAGCTCCCAGAGCCAGCGTGCTGCAGGAGAGTCACAAAGCTGCAGTTCACCCTCTGGCCCCTTCCCAAATCTTGTTCCAGGGCTTGCTGCTGCTGCCGCCATCGCTCGGTAACTTCCTCTCAGTGAGCAGGACCTGCTGCCTGAGAGGTGTCTGGTGACACCTCCGTCCTGCAGGACTAGGTGGCATCCCTGCAGGAGCCTTGCTGAGATGCAGGTGCTGGCTCACAGCTGCACTGCTGTGCTCCTGAGCGTGTTTTCCCAGGGAAAATAAAATCTCTTTTCCTTCCACACCCCCAGCCTGTCTGTTACAGCGCCGTGCCGTGTTTATGATGTCCACAATGTTTTAAAAATTGGGGTTTGCTTTGGGTCCGGCCATGTTGCTCTCTCCCCTTGGTTATGATTGTTTGTAAAATCAGGGGGGTGTTTTTATTTTACTCTCAACATCCAAACAGCTGCAGGCTGTAAAACACCTGGTGGCTGTTCCCCTGCCCTCTCTCGCCCCGTGTGTGTGTTGCTGCAGCTCAGGCCGAGCAGGTGCCTGCAACGACGAGCCACTGGCATCCTCAGGGGTGAGGGGTTGGGATTTATGGATGCTCACTTCCTGCAGGGTGGGTGGGTGCCGTCCCAGGAACTTACACATAGTGCTTTCAATCAATTAGTAAGTAAAAATTCCGTCGTATAGAATACGGTCTCATGCCAAAGGCCATTCATTATTGACTGCCGAGTCCTCATCTCGCTTAAAATTGCTGTTCAGTGGAGCATCCAAAGCCCGTGTCACAGAGAGGCACAGCTTTGCTGGTGCAGATTTGACATGACTTTTCGTTAAGGCAAATTTTGACGTTTAAAGGCTGTTCAATCCAAGTCTCTGATCTTTTGATCCCTGATAGGATTCTTTCCCTGTTCGCCTGCCTGTCGTTCAGCCTTCATGTCTTTATGTATTTCCTTCCATTATCCACACAACTAATAAAAGGTATCTGGCTGTAATAGAGACCGGTAAGACATGATGAGGGGACGCATAAGTCCTCAACGAAGAGTTGAACAAGGTCAGCAAAGTTAAGGGTACTTTGCTGCAGGTGCCTGTGTCCTTCTGGTTTCTCGTCTTTAAAATTCCTCCTTTTGGTTCTGTCCCTGATGATTGACTCTTGCTTATGGCTCTTGGTCACATTCCTGCCTTTCCAAACATTTCCTCACAATGAACTTCCCTTCTTACCTAATCTGAATTGTTACTCTCTGTTCCCCTCCTGGGGGGAGATGATTCTGAGGGGCATTCCAGCAGCCTGAACTTGTTAAAAAGACAGAGATGGCAGGGAAAGAGCCGTGAAACTAAGTTTTTTTTCTAAGGCACAGAGTGAGTGTGTAGCCACCATCTGCTGCGTCTCGTAGCTTCTTCCAGCAGAGTGGTGGGAGCAGTGCAGTGACACAGGACATCCTTCCCTCCTTGTCTCTGGAGTGAAGGGAAGTTGCTTGGATGCGTTTAGACTGAGGTTATGTTTTGCTTTTACACTAAGGATTTATCTGCATAAAGCTCTGTTCATTTTTTGGCAGGGATCTCCGTGTGTGAGGGACATCTCTGGCTGTATCCTGTGGGCGCGTGCTTTTCAGTAGCTTTTTTTTTCAGACAAATTTGTAGACACGGAGCTGGCAGAGACCCAGCTTTTTTATGTACAACCCATGAGCTTCACTGAGCACTAGATTAATTGCACTGTCTAGTTGTGCCATTTACTGGTGAACCTACCGGTAAACTGAACTGTCTAGTTGTGCCATTTACTGGTGAACCCAGCGGTGAACCTACCGGTAAACTGGCACAATGAACTTCCCTTCTTACCTAATCTGAATTGTTACTCTCTGTTCCCCTCCTGGGGGGAGATGATTCTGAGGGGCATTCCAGCAGCCTGAACTTGTTAAAAAGACAGAGATGGCAGGGAAAGAGCCGTGAAACTAAGTTTTTTTTCTAAGGCACAGAGTGAGTGTGTAGCCACCATCTGCTGCGTCTCGTAGCTTCTTCCAGCAGAGTGGTGGGAGCAGTGCAGTGACACAGGACATCCTTCCCTCCTTGTCTCTGGAGTGAAGGGAAGTTGCTTGGATGCGTTTAGACTGAGGTTATGTTTTGCTTTTACACTAAGGATTTATCTGCATAAAGCTCTGTTCATTTTTTGGCAGGGATCTCCGTGTGTGAGGGACATCTCTGGCTGTATCCTGTGGGCGCCTGCTTTTCAGTAGCTTTTTTTTTCAGACAAATTTGTAGACACGGAGCTGGCAGAGACCCAGCTTTTTTATGTACAACCCATGAGCTTCACTGAGCACTAGATTAATTGCACTGTCTAGTTGTGCCATTTACTGGTGAACCTACCGGTAAACTGATGAAATGCTCAGGTTTTTTGTATTGTTTTTAAAATTGCTTATTAAAACAATGTTTAAAAAAAGTGTCATTGCAAAGTGACACTTCCAGTGCAAGCCCCATAGCGTGTATCTCAGTTTGGACTTTCAGCAGCTGTAGCTCCCCCCTGGGCTCCCCCTCTGTGCTCTGCAGTGCTGGTCACAGATCCTGAGGTTCCTTGTGTACCCCAAGGCTTCCTGCCCGTCCGGTTCAAGTCTCCCCCGTTGGGCTCACTGCTGCTCTTCTCCCACCTTACCCCAGTCTTACCACCAAGCCAGGTTCAGTCCCGCCTGCATCACCTCCCTTTGTGAGCCCTTGTTCACCAGGGGCTGACTCTTTGCCAGTTTTTGCCCCCTGCTCTCGTGCAGCATCAGACAAACCCCTTTTCCTCCTTGATTTTATTGCTCAGCTGGGCCCCGTCTCTCTTTTCCCAGCACCCCAACTGGTGCCCATCTAATCACCAGCTGGTGTGCCCCGTTTCTTGTCCAGCCTTAGCTTTCTGCCCTTCCCACAAAATCTGCCAACTCACTCCCTTTTTCTCCCCTACTGATTCCAACTCCTCTTCCAGAGCTGGCTCTGGTTTCTGTTACTCCTTCACCCACCTCCTGTTCTGATTTCAGGAGGCATCTCCCTGCGACCCACGCTTTCTGGGTCAACTTCTCTTCTCTTTACACCTGGGTCACCTGCAGCTTTGCATACAGCTCGGTTGAATGAAGAGAAAAACATTCTCTGGCTTTCAGTCCTGTAGTGACCTGGAACAAGTGTTTTGGGGAAGGTCTGGCTGCCCTCTAAGCCCAGGATGGAGTTTGGCCACCTCAGCTGGGGGGACACAGCCCGGGGAAGCTCCTGAGAGCCTGGGCGGGCAGATGGCTCACCCCAGCACGTGGTTGGGGCAGCAGCAACTGCCTCTGGTTTGTTGTCAGGGTTTTTCCAAAGTTAGGTTCTTTTAGCTTTGCTATTAGGCTATTGTAAAATTGATTAGGCTGTATTTCATTAAAAACCTGACTTTAAGCTATTAGGTGTTCAAGCAGAATCTTTTCATCTCACTGTGTGACTAAAATGGGGAAACTATTCCTGTGTGACAGCTTCTGCCTAGAAATCAAGTGAATCAAGTGTTTTGTTGGCTTGAGACACCCCCTTGAAGCTGAGAAGCAAAGTTTAGCTTGGACATCCCGGTGCCGGTGCCTGGCTGGGGTCCCCGTGGGGTCCCGGGAAGCAGCAGGGCCGGGTGGGTGCTGGGGCAGGGCAGGTTCTGCTCTGCTTAGATCAGTGGAGGATCCTCTCCAGGATCAGCAAGTCCCTTGCAAACAGCTGCCTGCATTTTGAACTGCACTGGGGTCTTATTTGTTCTCACCTGCCCTGGATGGGGAAGGTGGCTGAGTTGCTCTCAGGATTAGGAGTTTTTCACATTTCCAGCCTAACTTTATTCTACAACATTTTACAGTTGCTTATTATTGTGTCAGAATTTACTTAGAGTTTAAATAGTTTGGGTTTTTTTTTTTTTGTCCCCCGTGCTTGATGGCTTGATACAGTTACAGCTTTTTTAGTTCCTATCCTAGAGGGGACCCTGTGTTCTCTCCTGATCACTCAATGGCCTTTCTCTGTACCTGTTCCAGCTTGTCTTAATTTATGTTGCACAGGGATGACCCAGACAGTCAGTGTGGCTCAGAGACACAGCAGTGCTTTTGCGACTCATGTTGACACTTCCACCGTGGAGGTGTGCTGGAACCAGCCTGTTTGGTCAAGCCAGAGAAGGGCTTAAAAAACCACAATTGCTGAGACAGTGAATTTTTCCTTTTTTTTTCTTTTGTTTTTCCTCCCTCCTTATTAGAGCACAGTCCTGTAGTCCAGGCCCCCCAGCAAATGCCTACTCCAGGAGCCCTCTGCCTTCACTGATGCTGATTGTTTGTGCAGTGAGACGGAGCTGTAGTCAAAACTAAAGATGCCACTCTTCTTCCGTAAGAAGAAACCCAGCGACGATGCTCGGAAGCGCCTTGAGTACCAAATGTGCCTGGTAAGTAGTGCCAAGGTCTTTTCTCTTCTCGTGTCTGGTCCCAGTGACAGATGAATCGGTGCATCCCCTGCGTGACCAGTAATTGTGTTACTGGTTTCACAAGACAGCAGGTCGTCTTTCTAATGTACCCCAGAGGATTCCTGCTTTCCCCGTCTCCCTTTGCCCTCCCCTCCAGGGTCCCCCTCGTTCCCCTTCCATCCCTCTCTGCTGCTGTGGTTCCACCCCACTGCCAGCCCTGCTTTCTCCTCCCTGCCCCCTCACTTACACATCTCCCCGTTTGCTTTTCCTACCAAGGAACCTGTGACATCCCCTTTTCCCATCATAACTGGCTTTCCTTGTCCCCCTGTTTTGCCTCTCGTGATTATTTTATTTCTTCCTATCATTCAGAGGATTAACCTGTTAGATGCTGCTGTTTGTTTTCCTGGAGGAGGACTCAGCCAGGATGCTCTCTGATGCTCAGCAGGTTGCTGTCATGCCAGCACGGTCGGCAGAACTGCCTGCCTTACAGCAGCCACGGATTTAAAGTTGGCTTTCTGAAAGCAGTCATCTTTTGAATTATTTCACCCATTCTGCTGTAGGAGCTGCAGACAAATGCTGCCATAGGGGATCTGCTGTGCTCTACCCCAGAGGCACCTGAATTGTAAAAGTGACAAAATGATGCCTGTTGGATGTCTGTAAGGTATTTTGGAAAGGAAGGCTTTGTTATGTACCAATAACAAAACCAGTTTTACTGAATTTATTCAGTGGAAGGGTTCAGCTCCTGTGGGGCTGGGGAGGGATAGCTTAATTTGGCCATTCTAGGGTTAGTTCTGTGTTGCGTGTGCGTAGTTTAGGGTCAGGATATCCAGTTCTGAAGACTGAACAGAGGCACTAACACAAGCAGGTTTTACTGCCTTGTGCAGTGCCTTTTATTTAAGAAAAATAACTCCAGAGATGCAATGCTGCTCCTGGTGAGGTCTGTCCAGTTTCATTGCTGTTACCAGCTGCATTGGGTGGAGTTGATTTGAACATGGAGAACCACTTTTGTACAGAAGCAGTGAGTCCTTGCTCCTTCTTCCGCAGCAGAGCTGCCTCTGCAGGTCCCATGGAAGAAAAAAGGCAAGAGTAGGTTATTTTGGTGTGTTTGTGTAGTTCAGAAGAAGGTCTGTCTCCTGGGTGAGACGTGCTAGTGTCTCTTTACAACGAGGTTGGCACTGCTCTTGTTCCTAGGAAGTGCCTCTCTTGAGAATCTGTCATTTCCTTTCCATATCCTTCCAGATAAAATTGCAGAATTAGGATATGCTTTGGTTCTTCGTGCAGAAATTCCATCTATTGCACCAAAAAGCTTTTGCTGCAGTTTGGTTTCCCGGTTGCTTTTGCTTGCTGCAGCTGTAGCAGCAGACCCTTTGCTTCTAGCATCGTCACTGATTACGCGCCTGCGACAGAGAGCGGCAATTGCATTTTCTGGGGAGGGGCCAGTCGAGTAGTTTAGTCCACATGCAGCAAAAGGCCATGTGTTTCTGCGTGGTCTGATTCTCTGGATGCATCTCTTCTCTCTCCAGGCAAAAGAAGCTGGTGCTGATGACATTCTTGACATATCCAAATGTGAACTCTCAGAGGTACGTTCTCCACAACTCCCAGTATCAGCTCAGAGTCTGAGTTCTCTCTCTGCTTCTTATTACCAACTGTCAGATTTAGTATCACGTTTATAAGCCTTGAGACAGAAATGGCCTTGTTACTGGTCCACTTCTTCCTGTGGCTGCTGAGGTGAGGGCTTCTTCCCCTCCTTTTTATTTTGTGGGAAATTGCCCCTCCTACCTGATGCTTCAACAACATTTGTGTCCTGGGAATCCTGTTTCATCTGGGAAGGGCAGAGCACCCTCCACCAGTACAACGGCAGGACCCTTGTTTGGGACTTCAAGGTCTAATTTTACTAGTCATAAGGGAATTTATTTGCCCAAGGCTGGCTCTTTCTAATCTTAGAGCTACAAAGTCTGCCACCTGCACTTATTTTTCTGTCTAAGTGAAAAATCCTGGTTCCAGGCTGCTGGGTAAGGATGGAAATCTCACTTCCAGCTTGGCTTCTTTTATGGCAGCCAACTAAATGAGAAACAGGCTGTCTGCTGGAGTGTGAGCAGTTTGTGACAGACTGCCGGGCTGTCACAGGAGACACAGCTTTTCATCCTGGCAGGCAGGCAGTCCTGTTAAGCAGGAGCCCATTTCTACTTCCCTTTCAGTTTTTATTCATTGCCCCGTGTTTCTAAAACACGTAGGTACCTGTGTAACCTTTTGTCACAGGATGCCTTTGCCAAACAAGCTCATAGATGCTGCGGTGTGATTTGGGAGCATCCTGGAGAGGACAGTGTCTGCTGGGCAGCGTGAAATGGCTTTGCTGAGGCTTTGGGATGTTTTGTTCCGAGCTCAGAAGGCAGCAGCATCTTGTGTGGAGGTGTGTGAGCTGCCTGGGACCGTCTGCGGCCGGTCTGGGTATGGCTGGCAGAGGATGCACCGAGCCAGCTCCATCCAGAGCCACAGCTGGTCTTGGATGCCCAGCAGCTCCCTTTGGATTGGTACCATCAAACTCTGCTTTGCTCTTTCTTTTTAGCACTTTGTTATTTCAGTAAATAAAGCGAGCCATCAGTTTGCTCTTAAAATCAACTCTGGATAAGAGTTTGATGCGGGTTCTGTGCTGCAGATCAGGTCCCCGTGCTCAGCCGTGGCTGGCACAGGTGGAATTTGGTGGCGTGTCCCTTTTGTGACTGCCCCTGTCCTGCAGAGCCTGGCACGTCCGAGGACACGGGCTCCTGCCTGTCACTCCCCTCTCTCATGGGGCCGGTTTGCCCAGGTTGCAAAACCGTGGAACACGTTTGTGTGATGACTAACTGGAAATAGGCCTGAACTCTTGAGTCACCTGCACGTCCAATATTAAATCAGTCAAGACTTGAACTTCTGCCTGTTCCTCAGTCTGTCCTGTGCTCTGCACGACACTCTCTTGCTGTGGGGAGCCACTGCCAGCTCTTTAAATGGAAATGAACTGGGAAGTACTGGCATCCCAGGCCAAACCCAGGGGCCCATCATTTTAAGTATCGCTTGCGTTTTCATTAAAGCTAGTTGTTCACACTGTGCAGGTGGATACTGTAGAACTGCTTATGAAGATAGTATCTTGAAAAGTCTGACACAACTGTTTTTTAATTGTTTTTAGGTTCCTTACGGGGCCTTTGCAACTTGTAAAGTCTTGCAAAAAAAGGTAATGTTGCAATCGGAAGCTATCAGATAATTCTACTGTTATGCTTGAGTACTATTGTGTTTGAGGTGACTGTACGTGATTGTTCATATGTTGCTTCAGAAGAAATTTGCTTGTAATTAATTTGGCCACCTGTACGATGCTACATGGAGAGCAGTTTGGGTTGGACTAATCCTGTCTGTACTTTAGAGCTTGCTGGTGTCATGGAAGATGAGATGGTTGTTTCTATTGTAGCCTGTCTAAGGATGTTTCTCATGTAAGGCTCTAGTTTAGATTGCATGTTAAATGTTTGACCTTCATGAAAATCCCTTTAATGTTGTAATATTTTATGTGATACTGAGTAAGATGTTGAGCTCTTATGCAGCCTCCACAATTAAATCTCAACAAATATGCTTGTTCTAGACAGTGGTGCCTCTTGTGCTCATGTTTCCTTGGGATTTTTCCTCCTCAGGTGCTGATTATTCATACGAATAATCTGACATCTTTAGTCCCAAAGTCCTGCAGCCTCCTGAGTCTCATAACTCTGAAGGTAATTGTGATTCCTAACGGTTAATCTGAAGCCTGTTTTCCTTGCATTCTAGCTGCATTAAAACACACCAGCCCAAATAAATCCCTTCTGTCTGACTGTCCTGGCCAAGAATCGAGGAATCCTGCCTTTCCTGGCTTTCCCTCCCGGGTAGATAGATAGAAAATCATAATCAGTCCCAGGACTCGTTTATCCTCTTCTCAGTCCCACACTTTCCCCCTCGACAGCCTCTTACAGTGGTGGTCAGTGTGTTGGGGGGTAGGTCCGTCTCTCTCCTGCACTGGTGAAACTGTGATGGGTGATGGTATGGGAGGGGCTGTGCTGTCCTATAAACACTGAGGGCTTTCAGCTCCACCACAGGGTCATTCCAGCAGCTCGCTTCTCTCCGAGGGCTTTCAGCTCCACCACAGGGTCATTCCAGCAGCTTCTCTCCATTGGGGGGTAGGTCCGTCTCTCTCCTGCACTGGTGAAACTGTGATGGGTGATGGTATGGGAGGGGCTGTACTGTCCTATAAACACTGAGGGCTTTCAGCTCCACCACAGGGTCATTCCAGCAGCTCGCTTCTCTCCGTGGAGGGAGGTCTCCAGGCACAGTCCTGCCCTCTCCCAGTGCTGCTCTTGGAGCCACGCAACTCCCGTGGAGCGGTTCAGCTCACGGATCCTGCAGAAAATGTCTTTTTTCTGCCAGGCTGGCTCCACGGAGATGATTTATCCAGTTGGCTCATGCAGTTTTGCGGAGCAGCTCCCTTGCTGTCACTGTTCTCTCTAGTCTTTCGTTTGTTTATTGATATATAGAGGCTTGAGTTTTCAAAAGACCTGCAAGGATTAAGTGCTTATGTCTCCTTGAAAACTTAAGCTGCTTTCAAAGCCCCATTGGAGGGAAGTACTTTTCATTGCTAGATAATTCATGACCTTTCATTCTTGCTCCGTGACTTCTTTTCACAACCTTGTTTGACAAAATCATCTACTCTTCTAGGTTCTAGACCTGCACGACAACCAGCTGGCGTCGCTCCCTGCTGATATAGGTCAGCTGACGTCTCTTCAGGTAAAAGATTTGCAGCCACATCCCAAGTGTCTGTAAGGGGCTTGTCACAACTATGGGGTTACTGCTATTTGATGTTAATTAATCACAATTCAAACGATGGTCCTCAGAATGTCACATCTACCTCATTGACTTGACTGGGGGTGTTGCACTGGCTTGTTGGAGAGGGAGAGCAGGAGAAGAGGGGACATGCTGAATTATATAGACCCAGCTTAGGGCTGTCAGCCCAAATGGGTCGTGCTGCCAGTGCTGAGAGCAAGGGCTGGGGCTTCCAGTCCCGTTGATTTCCCAAAACACTCAGGTTTTACCTTTCTCCCTGGTGTGATTATGTTGAGAACTCAGTGCAGCGGGTCATAGTGCTCGCTGAGGGTCCCCTCTGCTCGGGGGGCAGCCTTAGGGTCAGTCACTGCTCCCCTGGGGGGTTGGGGAGGGGGAGCAGTGCCCTGGAGGGGAGGACACTCTGCTTCCCAGCTCCTGCATTGGGGTCTGGCACCTGCTGCTGCTGTTGGTTGTGAGTGGGGTTTCTCACCAGATGTACCCTGTATCCAGGCTTCTGGAAAATAATTTCATTTTTAAACCCAGGAAGTATTTTCTAAAACTAATTTCAAGTTGCCCTTCTGGGCCTGAGAGTAGTGCCAATAGCATAGATGTGTAGATGACCTGAGACTTTGTATAAAGAATATCTTGAATATCTTTTCTGTTAATACCTTAGGTCCTAAACCTTGAAAGGAATCTTTTAAAATGCCTTCCACAATCTATAGGAGACCTTGCCCAGCTTCAGACGCTCAGTGTGAAAGGTATGGCACACGTTTCTTGTCAGTGCTCTGGGCAAAGCACCATGTGTTATCTGGGTTGTGCTGATGATGATCTAGATGATCTCTAGAGGTCCCTTCCAACTCTGACAATTTCGAGCTGCATTCTCTTAACCAGAGCAAGCACCAAATGTTTTCCTCTATGAATGCTAAGGAAGAACACAAGAGGGATTTGAATTCAAATAGTTGGCAAGGCAGGAGAAGTCATCTAAGCTGAAAATGATTCCTAAAAATTCCCTGAGTTATTTAGGAGTTCACTGGGGTTGTTTGGCTGCTTCTTAGCAACTGCACACACTCCCTGCCTCAGTTCCCTGCCATGTGGTTCAACTCATAGCTCTTCTGTCAAACGTGCTCCGTGCAATGTTTTCATTCAGCCCATTGCCTTTTCTCAAAGGGGAGGTTGTTGGGTCATTGTGCCCGATCTCAGCAGCAGAAAGCTTACTTGTGTGCCTGCACGTGGGCAGCGTTTTGGAGCCCTGGCTGCCTCACTCCTGCAGTGTCGAGGGTGCTGAGAGGGCTGAAGAAACACGGCTTCCTCCGGGACCACGAGACACACATCGAGCTGGGAGCACTCTGTGTGCCCTGCCAGAGTCCCAGGGCTTGGCCCCCTCTGGGTAGTGATTTAGACCAATGTAGGAAATCCATCTGTGGATCCAAGTGTAAGAAAAGCAGTAGGTCTTCGGTAGAAGCAGTTCAGGAAAGCAGGCAGAGCAGTCAGCCCCAATAAATTGAATTATGATTGAGTCCACCGACACCTAGAGCTTGGTCCTCTGAGCCTGCGTAGCCCTACCAGGTTTGCACAGCCCTAACACAAGGTCACAACTGGACTTCTTTTGAAGACTCCTGGGCATTTTCTAGGTACACAGCACCATAAATTCGGGAGAAAAAGGAGACACTGTTACAGGGAGTTGTTGCTGGAACAGGGAAGGAAATAGAGGGTGAGGAACTTGGCAGTACAGCTTAGTTCATTGCTGTATCTGTCTGCAGCACCTGGCCTCTGAGCCCTAGATGTACAGTCCCACACTCAGTCCCCTTTTTCCATCTCTGGTGCTTACACAAAAGGCAAGGAGGCTCCATGTTACGAATATTCTGTGTGATAAAGAGCACAGATCCAGCCTGCAGCAGTGACCTCAGCTAAGAAGGTCCTTTCTGCATGAGGAACCACTGCTGGACCTGTGCACTTGGGCTGAGTGGAGGTAGATCTGGATCCCCATTTGCCTTGGTGGGCAGTGTCAGCCTTTGGAGTCCTCGTGTGACCCAGGACAGCCCCATCCCTGTAGTAGAGTATGGAAAATGAGTCATACGTATGATTATGGTTTGATGTTCCAGCAAATGAACTGGCTGGGTCGTACTTTGGAAAAGCTCTGTGGTACTGAGTGGCTTTTCTCTCTTTCTAGGTAACAAGCTGAAGGAGCTGCCTGCTACTGTGAGCGGGTTGCGGAGCCTGCGCACTCTGGATGTCAGTGAGAACCTGCTGCAGGAGCTGCCGCGGGTGCTGGCTCACGTCCGCACGCTGGAGGTACAGCCCTGTCTGTCTCCCCTCCACAGGCTGCTTCCCTTCCCGTTTGCTCCACTCGATAATAAATTTAGCATAGAAAGTGAATTTTTAGGGCTTGAGCAGGCATTGTAACAAAGGCTATATGCAGTTCGTGGTGTCCAAAATAAGCTTTTGCGTACCCTTCGTTTCTGATCGCCTTTTGCCATGGCTTAATCACGACACAAGTGATCCACGGGGAACAAAACCCCCAGGTGTTGTCTGCCAGGGCTCTGAGAGCACGAGCTGAGCTGGTGGGCTCAGGCTGACTCAGCCACTTTCCACCAAGGCTGATTCTGGAGGAGCAGATGGGATATTTCCGATGAGTTTTTCAGCCTCCGTTGCTGTGGCAGGTCTGTGACTCATTGTCAGCCTTCGTGGGCTTCTGGCTCCCTGGAGTGCACATTCAGAATGGGGCAGGCATCAAGATTTTTATGGATGTGTTACCTTCTGGCTGCCAGACTCGTCAGTACTAAATGGCACAAATGTCAGGCAACGGGGCTGACTCAGACACCAGCACGAAGGGTGCGAGTAATTGCTCTCCTGTCTCAAACGCACAACATCAGGCTTCATTTCTCTTATGGGCACTCTCTGAGATGAGGGATCTGTGCCACTTGTTCCCCTGTCCTTGATAGAGTGGTTCTTTTCTAGGCCTTCCTGCTCTGCCCTTCTCCACAGGAGGCAACATTAGGTCCTTTTGGTGGCCACAGTAGGACAGAAAAGCAAGTGGTCCTTCCACTTGTTCTTTATAGTATCCTCTCTGTGCCCTTTTTATCACCATCCCTTCCACACATCACACTTAAGGGCCCCAGCACACCCAAATGTAGTAGAAAATTGCTGTAGTTGAGCAGTGCTGTGCCCTCTTGTACTTAAACACAAAGTACACGTCTGCACAAGGGGCATGTTACACTGAAGAGCCAGCTCAGAAGTTCCCAAATAAGGAACACCTCTGATAGGTGTCCAACACCTGGCAGAAATTCAATCCAACCTCGTATTTATGTCAGGATTTACAGTAACATGAAGTTATCACCCCGTAAGTGAAGTTTTGGGGAGCTGCAAGGATAGCTGCAGTTGGACTCTCTCTGAGCCGTCAGAATAACCTGGAGCTCTCTGTGTTCTTTTTTGGAGACACTGACCCTGGATGCTTCTTCCATGACCTACCCATCACCTGACGTTTGCAGTGCAGGTACAGAGTCCATTCAGCAGTTCCTCTGCAAAGGTGAGAGCGAGGAGTCTGTGGGGGGCAGTGAGAACTTGGGGGCTGCGCTGGGCTCTGACCCGGTGCTGCAGCATGTTTGAAGGTTGCATTTATGAATCATAGAATGGTTTGGGTTGGAAGGGACCATAAAGTCCATCCAGTGCCACCCCCTGCCCTGGGCAGGGACACTTTCCACCGGACCAGGTTGCTCCAAGCCCCCTCCAACCTGGCCTTGAACCCCTCCAGGGATGGGGCAGCCACAGCTTCTCTGGGCAACCTGGGCCAGGCTCTCACCACCCTCACACCAAAGAAGTTCTTCCCCACATCTCATCTCCATCTCCCCTCTTTCAGTGTCAAACCCTTCCCCCTCCTCCTATGGCTCCCCTCCCTGATCCAGAGTCCCTCCCCAGCTTTCCTGGAGCCCCCTGAGGGACTGGAAGGGGCTCTAAGGTCCCCCTGGAGCCTTCTCTTTTCCAGGCTGAACCCCCACAACTTGTCTGGAGTGTGCTTTTGCCAAGAAAACTTGGACCAGATGATCCCTGAGGTCCCTTCCAACCTGGTGTTCTGTGGTTCTGTGATTGCTTCCATGACAGCCATGGGATTGGCTCTGCTTGGGGCGGTTTCTGGTGCCACACGTGGCAGGCTGGTCGGTGGGTTACGTGTCTTTGCTGGCAGACAGCAAAACAGGAGTCCTTCCTTAAGTCTTGTTTCTTACCATCACACTGAAATTTATAATGGTTTTGTTAAAACATCAGAATAGCTGAGTCAGAGACTGTCTGAGTGACAGAAGGCATTGCGTCTCCCTGCGGTTTTATTTTCTCATTTGTATTTTCTCAAGGGGGAGGAGTAGGCATCATCCAGGTAGAGCTGCCTTGGGACAAGGACGTAGACTCAGCAGTCACTCGAGGTCCCTTCTACCCTCGTTTTCTATGAGAAAGGACTTGGGGGCTGCAGACCGATGGTTTGTTAAGAGAAAGATGAAACCAGGCGGAAAACCCAGGTCTGGTTTAGTGATGATGCTCCTTGTTTGTTGTGTGGGTGTCTATTTTTGTCAGTGAGGTTGACGGTTGGACAAGATGATCTTTAAGGTCCCTTCCAACCTAGAAGATTCTGTGATTCTGTGAATATAGACAGGAAGGTTTTAGGGAGGGGAAGTGCCAGACGTTGTGCCAATCTTGAAATAAAAGGACAGTCAGAACTTAGTTTAATATGGGCAGTAACATTTGCAGCCCTGCAGAAGACAACGTGCCTGTGCTCGCCTGAAGGAAGCGTTTCTCTCTCAGCTTTGATCGTCTTCCTGGTGGGAATGGGGTGGCACTCTCTCCTCTCAGACCTGCTTCTTGCTAAACCTGCCTGAGCTGAGGGAGCTCTTTTGGGTGCTGGGCTGTGCGTGGGGAGAGGGAGCAGAGTTGGGAGCAGACTCACCCACCCACCAGCCCTCGGCCACGCTGCCAAGGAGGTCTTTAAGCTCCAAATGTTCTTGTTTTGTGTCTAATACCTTCCAGAGTGTGGAATTCCCTACTACCCTCCCTCGCATTATCTGCTCCCCACGCTGGAGAGTGATGGAGGAGGAACATCAGTGGATGGGGTGGACCGGGCGGTGCATAAGTACTTGGAGGAGGAGAGTGAGTGGCAGGTGAGGCTCCACCATGTGTGAAGTTATGCGAGAGGGTTTTGGATTTGTCTCTCTGCTCCATCAGTGGATCTCACTGCACTTAGCACATCATCCCTCGTCACCCTGTCCCCATGAGATGTGTCTTTTGGGACCAAGAGAGCATCAGTGGACCCTAGCACTGTGGGTGTGGGTGGCTCCTCCCCTTCCTGAGAGCTGAGGATGGTGTTGCCACTGCTGGCTCCTGGAAGACACATCACAAAGAACTGTCTCCATCCTTGAAAGCAGTGGTGCAGTCAAGGGACAGGGGTGACAAGGTGACATGGTGTGTGCAGCATGGTTTTTTGGGGGGACAGCAAACTGCAGAAGAACTTTGTGACTCCCAGCCAAGTGCTAGGCATGTCCAGCCCTTGCTGGGGAAGGTGAGGCTCGGCATCTCATTATGATAAGTTGTGCTAATTATCTAGTACAGAGTAAATTGACCCTGGAGAAGCGTGAATGACTGGACTTTGTGGCTGTGTTAATCTTGTGCTGTTGGTCGATGTCTTTACTCAGGGGAAGATACAACATAGGCTAACAATATCGATAAAAAATTGCTCCTTGGATTAAGTGTCTGCTGCTATTGCTTATTTTTCAGAACAAATTCTTGGATTATGAGAAGAGGAAGGTAAGGATGAACTCCTGCAAATACTTCATCTGCTTTATCTTTCACTTTTTTTCTTGCTTTCCCTCCCTTTTTCTGGTTTTTCAGCCAAACCCGAACGTTTTGAGAACTGATTTCTTGTATAACCCCCCCACCCCACCGAGCTGTTCACTCCTCACTGCAGGTGAGAGCGTGGGGGGATCTGAGGTGGGTTTGTCTGACACACTCAGCCCATGAGCTGCCATCTCTCTCCTGAGCCAGCAGTTCCAATTTAAATCAGGAACTTTGCAGAGTTCCTGTTTGCAGAGTTGGATCTGGGGGCTTTCATACCACTTGGCTTTTTTTCCTGCCTCTGTGTGCTGAAAGCTCAGTTTGTTTTTCACACAAGGTGGGCAGACGTGTGTGAGAGTCCCTGCACAGGCTGCTCAGCCCCTGCCTTGGCCCTTTGGCTCCTAGTGCTGCTGTGCTCTCTCCTACTGCTCCTTGTTTCTATCCTCACCTGGCTGAATTTTTACTTTTCTTTTTATTTCACTGGTCTCTGTCCCTTCCCCCATGCAAGGCTCACTTTGAAATGATCAGAAGCTCCTGTCACGCCGTTCACCTCTCCCTTTGGCTGGAGCTGCTCGTAGAGAGCTGCTGCCTTCGCTCCGTTGTCTTCAGACGGGGGAGTCCCCTTTGCCATCTGGAACCGAACACAACCTTAATTTTGGGCTTCCCTCTGGCTGTTTGTACTGGCTGTTTCTGTTGTATGGGTTGGTGCCCAGGGACTTTGGCTTCATGACTATGAAGTGAGTTGTAGGGAGTTTGGAGACTGTCATAAAGAGAGCAGCGGCTTCTGCTTCACAGTTTTTGGGTCCCTAAGGAGAGAACGTTTCCGTCTCTTAGTCAAGCCTGCTGGTAGTCATTTGGCTTGCTTCCTCGTAACTGAGGGAATTACTGTGCCTGGGTTTATGGTTTTGCCAGAATTTGTTCTTGCTTGGGAAGGAGCGGAGCCAGCTCTCTACTAATTGCTGGCATTCATCTTTCTTCTTATTCCTCTCAGGAAAAAAAAATGCAGGAGAAGCTGGAATTTGAGCGGCGCCTGAACATGGGGCAAAGAGAACAGGCTCTGCTTGTTCAGCAGGTCAACAGTCAGAAGGACGAGATACTACAGACAGTGCGAGAGGTAGGTCTCCTCTGGGCCGGCCCCGTACGTGACACTGCCTTTCCTAAACTGCCCATGTTCTCCTTGGGTTCTCTCTTGCGTTGGCCTAGGACCAGCTGAGGCTGGAGGAGGGTCTGACAAAGCACCAGCGCTATTTGGAGGAGGAGCGCCTGAAGCTGCTGCAGCAGTTGAAGCAAGCGGAGCAAGGCATTGCCAGCCGTATCCAGAAGCTGCTGGAGGACAACCAGAGGTCAGGTCCCAGGGTCTCTGGGAGTCCAGAAGCTGCTGGAGGACAACCAGAGGTCAGGTCCCAGGGTCTCTTGCAGAGATCTCTGTTCCTCGGGGGCTCGTGTTATTTTGTCCCATTCTGAGTGGTTTGTTCGACCCTTTCTGAGCTTTACGGAGCTTGGTGTCCGTAGGTGGTGCCACAGCTCTTGAGCTGCCAAAGTCCCATGTGAAGGAAGTGGAATTTGGCACCTTAAAAAACTGTTTCGCACATATGTGTGCTGGTGGAGTTTTGCAGTGCTGTGGAAAAAATCTGAATTCCTCATGGAGGGTGCATATTTGAACAGAGGTTCTTAGGTCCCGCTGACCTAGACCTGCTGGATCTCCTGCTGGTGCTGACACCAGGTTACCAGCCTGCTTCAAGCTGCTCTTCTCTGCATGACAAGCCAAGTCATTTTCTGCCTTCTGGGGCAGTAGGGTGTCCTGCTCAGCTTGATGAAGACTTCTTGTTTTATATTTTTTTTTAGGCAAAAACAAAGTGCGGACATTCTGAAATCCTTGGAGAACGAGAGGTGAGTCTCCTTGAAATGGGCTTTTCTAGAAAAGGTGGCCAGAAGCTGGGAAGAGAGGGCTGGGACCTTCCTATCAGTCTGAATCCACCTTAGGGCAGGGCAGGTTCATCTCGTACCTGCAGCTGGTTCTGGTCACTGTTGGAGGCAAGACACTGGACTGGATGTGCCTGGTCTTACCCGGGCTGGTAAGCACTGTGGAATAGTGATTTTACCTCTTTTTGATCTTGGCATGGCCCTAGCGAAGGACCTTGGGAACAAATCTCTGCATTCCACTATCAAGGACCGACAGAAATCTTGTGTCTGTTGGAAAGCAAGACATTGATGAACGTGGGTGGTTGTGTCCATGCTGGGAGGAATACACTGGAGACCAGGCTGGTGTCCAGGCAATGCTTTGAGCTGGCTTTGCCACCAAAAGTGATTGTCCCCAATTGTCCCCTGCCTATATGCTGCCCCTTCCTCCAGCCAACTATTTCACAGAATCACAGAATCTTCTAGGTTGGAAGGGACCTCAAAGATCATCTTGTCCAACCGTCAACCTCACTGACAAAAATAGACACCCACACAACAAACAAGGAACATCATCACTAAACCAGACCTCCCAGCACTACATCAACCCGTCTTTTGAACACCTCCAGGGATGGTGCCTCAACCACCTCCCTGGGCAGCCCATTCCAATGCCTGATAACCCTTTTGGTGAAAAAATTTTTCCTAATTTGTGCTGCGACACAGTAAAGCGGATGGTGGGACTGACCTGGCTGAAAAATAATCCCTTTGTGTGTCAGGTAGTTTTCCAGCCGCACCAGTATCCGATCTGTTCAGTGGTGTCGTGTGGGTTTGTGCTGGGACAAGGACACGGGAGGTGGGAATGGAGGCCAGGCTGCTGCTGTCACTGGGGCTGCTCACTTAGGTCAGCTCCAAAGCGCTCTTCAAGCCTCAAAAGAAAGGAAAGCCAAAAAAAAAGGGTCTGGCACTGTGTCTGGTGAGAGCGTGTGCATGTTGCAAAGGTGTTCTGTTTCTCGGAAAGATCCGCTTCCCAGTCTAAAGAAGCAGTTGTCCCCGTGGTTGTCAGCAGAATTGATGTTGTCTCCCATGGGCTGAGAGGCCCCTTGCCATGAAATCGCTGGGACGTGGGTGTCTCTGATAAGCACGTGGCTTTCCTGAGGAGGTGGCAGGGGGATCTGCCCAGCCCTCAGGCTCCGAGCTGGGTGGGCGGAGGAGGAGTGAGATAGTGCTTGCTTGAAGGAGAGGCTGAATTCTTCTTGTTTGCTTGGCAGAATAAGGATGGAGCAGCTGATGGCAATAACACAGGAGGAGACAGAGCATCTACGCCGAAGGGAAGTGGCCTGTAAGTCCAGCCAGCTCTTTGGGGTGGGGAGGTGCAAGGAAGACCTGGTTCCTCTGGAAATGCGCTGAATAGATGACATCCTTGTGGGAGATGCTGTTGCTCGGTGCAGTGGGGCAGAGCTGCAGAGGGTAGGATTGTATGGGTACCATAGCTGATCCATTGCTCTCCTTGAGGTGCAAGTTCTGCTCCCTGTGGAGCTACAGCACGTCCAAGGACTTTGTGAGTCTGGGTATGAGCACACAAAGTGCTTCATGTTTCAGAGGAACCAAACAGATATTAGCTGGTTTGAGCACACAAAGTGCTTCATGTTTCAGAGGAACCAAACAGATGTTAGCTGGTTCAGGAGGCAGGAGGCATATGGTAAAGAAGAATGGTGCCAGGGAGCCTTTTCTGCTCGTGATGGCCATGACCAGATCTGCTGGGGGTGCAAGGGAAACGAGGGGTGCATTGTCACCCCTAGGATGGACAGAGCTGCAGCCCCTCGGAGGGTCGGTGGGCAGTGACTGGGCTCCTCCAAGAGCTGCAGAGAGGCAAGTGCAGGCAGAGAGGAGTTGGCTCCTCTAATTTCCCAGTAAACAGCTGTGATTCTTGCAGCTGAATGATTCTGCTCTGGAATGAATGAAATGGAAAAAAACAAGCACAGGTTGGAAGTGAGAGAGAAGGTGCCGTTGATTGCAAGTGGTTGTAGCAGCAGCAGTAGACGAGCGCCTATGGTAGCTGCTTGCTCCTGACACGGGCTGACAGCCCTTCTGTCTCCTAGCTGCCATGCAGCAGATGCTGGCTGAGAGCTACAAGAACAAGCTCCTCCAAATGACCTATGAGTCTCGTCGGCAAGACCTTGTCAACCAGGCCTGCTCCAGGTACGGTGGGAGAGGTCTGGGGCTGGTGGTGCTGTCGTGAAGTCCCTTTCTTTCCAGCAGTCTCTGGTGGGATTCCCATCTCCACACCCAGGAATTCCTGCTGGGATGCAGCAGCACAGCTGTGCCAGAGCAGGTGACAACATGATCTAAAGAAAATGCCAAACTTAGAATCACAGAATCATAGAATCGTCTAGGTTGGAAGAGACCCTTGGGACCATCGAGTCCAACCATCTCCCCTACTCTACAAAGTCCTCCCCTACACCATGTCCCTCAGCACTGCATCTAAACAGCCCTTAAACACAGCCAGGGATGGGGACTCCACCCCCTCCCTGGGCAGCCTGTTCCAATGCCCGACCACTCTTTCGGTGAAAAATTCTTTCCTAATGTTCAATCTAAACCTCCCCTGTTGGAGCTTGAAGCCGTTCCCTCTCGTTCTATTGTTAATTACCTGTGAGAAGAGACCAGCCCCAACCTCTCTACAGTGTCCTTTCAAGTAGTTGTAGAGAGTGATGAGGTCTCCCCTCAGCCTCCTCTTCCTCACACTAAACAGCCCCAACTCCCTCAGCCGCTCCTCATACGATTTGTTTTCCAGCCCCCTCACCAGCTTCGTTGCCCTCCTCTGCACTCGCTCCAGCACCTCGAGATCTCTCTTGGATTGAGGTGCCCATGATTGATTAAACGAACCACCTAACCACAAGAATATGTGTGTTAGTCACACTTTGGATTAACTATCACATTTTTACACTGCTTATTATACTTTATACATTCTGCTGAATGTGGAGGATGAAATGAGACTGCTCTCACTGTTCCATTGGCCAGTGCAGTGTCAAACTCTAGCACAGAGCTCCTTTCCTCACCTCCCAGGGTTGTGTCGAGGATGCTGTTTGTATCTACCCAGGATTGTTGCATTGCTGTAGGAACAGAGAGCGTTCTGGCTCTCTGTATTTGCAAGGAGGTGAGAAATTTCCATCTGGCAGCATCTGGCACTGAACAGAAATGTCCTTGTGTGCCTGTGCCCTGCCCACAGAGGGCAGTGGCAGACTCAGTCCTGCCTGCACGCGTAGGCCATGTGTGGCCACCTTAGAGTCATAGAGCCATGGAATTGTCTGGGCTGGAAGGGACCTTTCAGATCATCGAGTCCAACCATCAACCCAGCACTGCCCAAACCACCACTGACCCATGTCCCTCAGCACCACGTCTGCCCGGCTTTTAAATACCTCCAGGGGTGGGGACTCCACCACTGCCCTGGGCAGCCCGTTCCAAGGCTTGAAAACCCTTTCAGTGTAAACATTTTTCCTAGTCTCCATCCTAAACCTCCCCTGGTGCAACTTGAAGCCTTTTTCCTCTTGTCCCATGGCCTGTTCCTTGGGAGAAGAGACCGACCCCTCCTGGATACACCCTCCTTTCAGGGAGTTGTAGAGAGCAATAAGGTCTCCCCTCAGCCTCCTTTTCTCCAGGCTGAACCCCCCCAGCTCCCTCAGCCTCTCCTCACAAGACTTGTCTCCAGACCCCTCACCAGCTTTTCCTCTCGTTTGCGTCGAGAGTCTCAGAGCCAGCAGTAACCCCACGGCAAATCCCTTTTCTTGCAGCCTTGCTGAGATGGACCAGAAGTTCCAGCAGATCCTGGCTTGGCAGCAGCTGGACCAGAACAAAGCTGTCAGTCAGATCCTGCAGGAGGTAAGTGAGGGAGCAAATTCCCTCCGGCAGGAGCTCATGGGAAAGCAACTGCACATGAAAGTGGGATCAGGAGTGGGTCACAGGAGCGACGGTGGCTGGGCTGGGCTGCACACAAAAGTTGTTTTATTTAACACTATGTGCTAAACTTCGAGAATCTCAGGTATTCTAACAAACTAACTTGGGTGGTTGAAAGAAAAAAGTACTTATTTTTTAACTAGACAGCAAATTTTTGGAAAAGACAGTGGCACGGCCCATGGGAAGCAAAACTGTTTATGTTTAATAGAGAGTACTTCGAGACAGAAATCCTGTCTTTTGGGCAGGTTTCCTGGGTGACTTGGGACAAGGTGCCTACAAGAAGCATTTTCAAAGCCTCTGCTCCTTTTGAATACCTCATTTTGAACCCGAAACCTCTGCAGCTCATTTCTCAGAGGGGCTGGGCAGCCATGCCCTGTTCAACAGCCTGTGGGCTCCCTGCTGCTGAGAGGGTGAGGTGGGGTTCATACAGAGCGTTCAAAATGTGTGTTGAAGGAACTGGAATATAACTTCTGCCTCTGTAAAGTGGGTTTTACCTCTCGGGGCTGTGGGATCTAAGTCACGGTGTAATGAGGACACTGTTGCCCAGAGGAAGCACTTCAGGTGCTTGAACACGAATCACTGGGAGGTAACAGGGATTCCCAGCCCATTTGCAGCTGCATCAGCAGCCTCACTAAGCAGGATTTTGCCTGTCCCTTAGATTGAGATGCAGAAAGCTGCCTTTGAAGCTCTCCAGGTGAAGAAGGATCTTATGCACAGGCAGATCAGGAACCAGGTGAGTCAGCGACAGAAGAAAGAGCAGCCAGCTCTTTCTCAGCTCAAACACCGCTCGATGAGACGCTTCTGAGGAAGATCAAAGCACCCTGAGCGTAGAGCAGGGTCTGGAGGGAATAAGAGCTCTGGAATTGCTAAGAGCTCTGTGACACAGGATGGGGCGGTGTTGGTTGGTTAAAGTACGGGCTCCCAGCTCCAGAGGAGGGAGATAAGGCAGAGTTTAGGTTTGGGGGAGTGGTGGAACGGCCATTGCTTCAGTCCCCTCAGCACTGATGTGGAGGAAGTGCTGGAGAGTGGTCAGTAGAGGACAGACCTGCGTTGCCTCTGCAGCGGTGATCTGCAATTGCAGCTACAATTCCCTTCAGGCTGTACCAGGCAGGGCTGCTGTTTCCACATGAGTCGCTGCATCTCCATCCAGCACATCGAGACCGCACCTTGAGCCATAAGTTCACCTTTTCTTTCCCATTCTCAGCCTGCCTTTCTGAGCTCCATTCTGCAGGAGGTGCGATGCCGTAGGCGGGGAGAAGAGGGGGAGCTGGTGGAGAGAGCAGTGGTGGTTGATGCATGAAGATGGGGAAATAGCGGTGGTTGATGGCGGAAGGTGGGTGGCTGGTTTCTTCCTGACACCGTGCTCCAGAATCTCCTGATCTGATGCTCACAGAAACATCTCAGGTCAGGACCTGGTGGATAAGCTTAAGAGCCTGGATATTTTGAGTCACTCAGTGACCACTCTGGATTGTGCTGGAAGCCTGTGGGGAATGTGTGTGGACAATCCAGGAGATGAGTCTAACAAACTCTCAATTTCTTGAGTTCATCAATAAGAGCCCTGCAGTTTGCTCGCATTTGCTCTGTACACAAAGAGAGTTTGTTCCTTGATACCATGGCTGGACCCTGGACCTTTTCCTTTTGAAATCCAGCCCATCCTACCACATCCTGCTCAGGCAGTGATCGGGCAGGAGCCCCAGGGACCACGTGCTGCAGAGCCCCGCTGGCAGCAGGAGTTTGGTGCTGGGTGGCACAGAATAAACAGTGTGACTTGGGGGTTGTAGGTGGCCTGGCATATAGGCAAGCTGGGCTCTCATCTTGGCTTTGCTGGGGGATCTCGGGCAACTCACTTCACCTCTCTGTGTCTCAGTTGCCCCACCTGAAAGAGCACGTACCATTATGGGATTTGCTGGAGGATCTGGAAACCAGGACCCTGCCCCAGTTGCAGGTGGTGCTAGGAGGACTTTGACAATCAGTTGCTGCCTTCCAGAGGGGCTGCAAGAGGTTTGGAACAACAAAACCAAACAAACTGATTGCAAGGTGCTTCTAGACTTGAGCAGAAGGTGTTTGGAGCAGGGAGACAATTAGTGGGGGACAGGGCTCCTCAGGCAAGAGAGGAAGAGCGACGCTAAGAGCGTGCATCAGGGAAGGGCACTGGCAGGTTCCCCACACTTCTGGGGGGCTCTGCAGTGCCCTCCCTCCCAGGGCAGCAGCTAGGCCTCATTTTAAAAGAGCATTAACTAAAGTCGTTACAAATGTCAGTAAAAAAATGTTTCATCTTCTGTTTAGATTAAATTAATAGAAACAGAGTTATTGCAGTTGACACAGCTGGAGTTAAAGAGGCAAGAACTGGACACAGAGACGCTGCAGGTATGTAGGGCTCTGGGGCTGCCCCACCACCCTCTCTCTGCTCTGGGATCGCAAAAGCTCCACTTGCTTCTTTTGCTCCTTGCAGTTTCCAGGAGGTTTTATGCTTAGGCAGGAGGGTCCTTCCCCCCAGGAGGCCACAGACCCCTCTTTGTCTCTGCTTACCCTTGCTCTGCTCCCACCTCGGGAGGCAGAGGAGCCGACAGCGATGGGCAGCTCCAGGTTCGCTGGATGGGAAGGAGTTTGCCCTCTGGTTGTTGGCTGTCCCAGAAACACCTGCCTGCTCTGCATCCCATGGCTTCCTACGTTGTCGTGTTGTGTTGTGTTTTGAAACACCCACCAGCTCCAGCTGTCAGCTCTCCCCCTCCATTTCCCAGCCTCGTCCCCCTGGCTGCACTGCCCCACCATCCCACCCTTCCATGGGCTGCCTCCATCAGCAGTCACAACTTGAGGAACCTCAAGCTTGGCTAAAGCAGCTCGGCATCAGACGCCTTTGCATCAGTTGTTTTTTTTGTGTGTGTGCTGTTTGCCAGATCAGGTCACCCATTTAGTGAGCCCAAAATCAGTAGCAAACACCCAACAGTCTCCAAGAGCAGTGCACCCACAGGCTGAAGCGCTGACTGGAGACAAGTTTGCCTCTGAGCCCTGTGCTGGTCGCCTTGGAGCATCAGATTTGGGTTATACTACCTTAGCTCATCCAGCTCCTCCCTGTAACGCTGCAGTGTTGAAGGTCTGATGGTGAGGAGCCACCCAAAGTTCATGCAGGGAATCAATCATCATAGAATCACAGAATGGTTTGGGTTGGAAGGGACCTTAAAGCCCATCCAGTGCCACCCCCGTGCCCTGGGCAAGGACACCTCCCACCAGACCAGGTTGCTCCAAGCCCCCTCCAACCTGGCCTTGAACCCCTCCAGGGATGGGGCAGCCACAGCTTCTCTGGCCAACCTGGGCCAGTGGAAGACCAAGGAACCCCAGGCAGATGTAGTTCAAGTGAGAGAGGTGATTCCTGTTAGGTGACCTCGGGAGGTCCGGGGGAGGGCAGAAGACGAGGCTCTGCCCAGCAGGCAGCACAGCACATTTGCAGCTCCAGCACTGGATGTCAGGAAAGGAGGTGTGAGACATCTTCATCTCTCTGGGTACAACCCACCTCAGCCCAAGGGTTCCTTGCTGTGACTGAACCCCCCCAGCTGCCCACAGGCAGCAGCTCTTCTGCAGTCACGCTTGATACCTCCTGGGAAGAAGGAAGTTGCTTCCTCCCCGAGTGTGCAGGTGCCTTAGGAATGAATTTGATAAAGCCTTGGAAAGTGGGAAGAACCAAAAGCAGCCTGAGAAGGGGAGGTGTTTGTTTGCACAGGTCTCTGGCAAGGTCAAGTCTGGGAGAGAGCAATCCCAGCAGGAGGGCTCATCTCAAGGTCAGGTGAAGCTGCCCAGGTTTCTGGTTTGGAGCAGCTCCCCTATCATTAATTGTCCCTCTGGCCTCTCTGGAGATCCTGATGCAGAAGAACTTTCCTACCTCCCTCAGAGGAAAGCATCTCTGATGCTTTTGTGGGTTTTGCCCGTGAGAGACAGCCGTTCCTGTCTCCTGCTTCAACAGAGAACCTTGTCCCTGTGTAGGGTCCAGGTGAAGGTTTTCCCACACCTCTTTAGGAGGTCAGCCTTCTGACAGAGTCCTTATCCCTTTGTCCATGGGCATCTGAAGTCCTTGTGGGTGATGACTACTGGCCTCTGCTCAGGTAATGGTCCTCCCAGCTGGTGTGAGCCGCCTGGGACTGAACCGTGCAGAGATGCCCCATGGTCTGAGGTTCCTGAGACAATTAACCATCTCCTGCAGCGATGACTTGCTTTGCCCTGGTACCTGGCGGGGCTTGGTGTGAGACCCCAGTGAAAGCACAGGGAGGTTGCTACCTCTCCTGCATACCTGCAGGCTTCTAGAACCTAGTTTTGGGTGGTTTTTCTCAGTTAAGGGGGGGACCATGAAGACTTGTGGTGCCATTGACTGAACTTCTGGAGTGATGAGGAGCGGCTGTAGACCAGCACGTGGGTGCTGGGGGTTGGCACCACCAGGTAGTGGTCAGTGCAGAGCTGAAATAAATGGGTTCAGCGTGGCTCTGGAGAGGACTCGGGCTGTCTGCTCAGCCGGGCTGAGGGCCCTGGAGCTCAGGGCTCCCATCTGCTGGGGTGGGTATGGCAAGTGCTTTTCTGGTTGCTTGGAGCCGTATGGGCTGGAGACGTGGGTGCCAGAGTCCTTCTGTTGCAGGGGCTGATCACAGAGCAGCGCCAGGCACTCGGCTACCTGCTGCAGCAGCTGCTCAAGGAAAAGAAGCAAAGGGAAGAAGAACTGCAACAAATACTGGTAACGAAGACCCCTAATTAGGTGCTGTAGATAGAATCATAGAATGGTTAGAGTTGGAAGGGACCTTAAAGATCATCGAGTTCCAACCCCCTGCCCTGGGCAGGGACACCTCCCACCAGCCCAGGTTGCTCCAAGCCCCCTCCAACCTGGCCTTGAACCCCTCCAGGGATGGGGCAGCCACAGCTTCTCTGGGCAACCTGTTCCCAGGTTGATGAGGAAGAGCATGGGCTGGCTGCAGGGAGAGAGTCCGTGGGTCAGCATGGGGATGAAGGGGGGCAGGGGAGGGCTCTGAGGGGTTGTGTCCAGATCCAGAGGCTAATTTAATTTTGGGAAGTGCTACTTTAAGCTCTTGGGGACACAGTTGCTGCCCGGCCCTGGTGCTGCATGAGGCATCATCATCATCAGTCTCCCCCACCAGGAAAGGGAGTCAGGGTGGGGGATGAGCACAATCCCCCAAGGGCCCTGTGTGTGGTTCTTGTAATCCTGAAGATCTCCAGACTCTCCTGAGCTTCAGGAGACCAGGCTCTGTTTCTGGGGCAAAGTGAGGGGAGGGAAGCACAACCCTAGACTGGACGTGGGGACCAAAGTGGGACCAGCCTGCAGGAGGCCACCAGTGCCATGGCCATGCCCATGGCCGTGCTCTGAGCTGGCTCTGCACAGCCCAGGGGGTTGGTTTCCCCTCCCACGTGTTCAGCCCAGGCTTCCCTAAATACCGCTTGGAATGTTATCTCGGGCTGTTAATGAGTGAGTTTGTTTTTCAGCTGGAAATGGAGGCAAAGAGCGAAACCAAGCAGGAGAACTACTGGCTGATCCAGTACCAGCGCCTGCTGAACCAGAAGCCCCTCTCCCTGAAACTCCAGGTCGCTGCTGCAGTTGGTGATTTCACCCTGGCTGTGCTCTGCCCTGCAGAGTGTGGGGGAGTGAGGGCAGCCCTGCCCCAACCCAGGGTTCAGCCGAGGCAGGGAGAGGGGTACAGACCCCTCAGACAGGCTGACAAGCCGGGGGGGACCCTGGGCTTCCCTGCATTTGGCCATCGTGCTCTGAGAGGGGCTGCCCAGGGCTGTAAGGAGCCCACCCCTCAGCTCTCTGCGCTGCCATCCCACCCCACCCCATGTGCCAGGAGCAGAGGGCTCTGAGCACCTTCCAGGCAGGGCTTTTTATTCCAGCTAAACCCCCAAACAGCTCCGCTGGGCTCCCCAAACTCCCCTGCAGGTCCCTCTGAGTGCAGCTCCCGTCTGTTCCTGCCCTGAGAGTTGAGCCAGGACTTTGTGCTGGTAGAACCTGGGAGTGAGCCCTGCCCGAGCTGCAGGGACACTCGAGTTGGCGAAGCAGGTGCTGCTGCAGACATCCTGCCAAAACCCTCATGTTTCATTCTTCCCCAAACGCAGCATTTTGAATTGTGCTCCTAAAATGCCTGGGGCAGAGCTCCTCCAGCTCCTGGGCTCTCCAGCTGCAGTGTCCTCAGGGATGTGAAGCGGTTGGAGCGGGGCACAGGGCAGGGAGGAGGACGCTGCCTGGCCCCACTGCTGCCTGGCCCCCTGCTTTTCCTGGAGAGCCGAGCCTGGGAGCTCCCTTTGTTTTGCAGGAGGAGGGCTTGGAGGGGCAGCTGGTGAACCTTCTGATGGAGCTCTCTGCGGAGCGGTACTTGCCAGTCTTTGCACACCATCGGGTTTCCCTGCGGGCGCTCAGCACCATGACTGCCCGGGACCTGGAGAAGGTAGGAGACAGCGGATACACCGCGCAGGATGAGACCTGCTGTGCTGGGACTGACCCTGCCCTTGCTCTGAGCTTGGCCGTGCTCACGGCTGTGCCTGTGGTCTGGCAGGAGGGAGTGTTGGTGCTCCTGGTGTCACCTCCCAGCAGGGAGAGGTGTCATGGTGCTCTGTGCCCGTGGTCTGGCAGGAGGGAGTGTTGGTGCTCCTGGTGTCACCTCCCGGCAGGGAGAGGGGTCAGTGGTGCTCTGTGCCCCATCCAAGTAGGCGAGAGCTCTCCCGGAGCACTTGCAGGGTGAGCTGTACCTTGGGGACCTCTTTCAACATCCCTTGGATGCTCTTTGTAGTAGAAATGGCACCAGGGGCATTCCCTCCTCTGGCTTTGGCACCTGCCAGAGGTCCTTCCCTTGACGTGACTGGGTCCTGCCAGTTTGCAGTGTCCCCTTGGGGACGTGTGTCTCCTCCTTTCCCCTCCCAGAGCTCACAGCCCTCCTCTTGCCCCGCAGATTGGCGTGACGGAGGCTGGCCTGCAGCGAGCCATCCTCAGGCGAGCCCAGGAGATCCTGGCCGTGGCCAAGACGATCCCAGGTACCACCGGTTCTTTTCCACCCGGTCTTTGACACTCTCAGCAGGTGCCTGAGCCTTGAAGGGGGGGAGATCTGTGGGGCCGGATCCCTCCCTTTGAGGAGCGGAGCTGCCGTGCAGGGCTGGTGTGCGAGGGGAGGCAGGGATGGCTGGCAGAGCTCAGGCTGCACTGTCACCATCGCTGTCACCATCGCTGTCACCATCACTGCTAGTACCATTGACTTTCGTACTTAGAATCATAGAATCATAGAACCATTGAGGTTGGAAGAGACCCTTGGGATCATTGAGTCCAACCATCTCCCCTACTCTACAAAGTCCTCCCCTACACCATATCCCTCAGTACTGCATCTAAACGTCCCTTAAACTCAACCACTTATTGGAGCCCTGAGCTTGGACCCAGCCCCACACGTTCTGGGTGGGTGGGAGATGGTCAGCTCAGATGTCTTGCTTGTGGTTGCAGAGCTGCTGAGGACGGTGGACGCCGAGGTCCCTGCAGCCCCGGAGCCCAGCGCTCCCTTGGAGGAGCCTCCCAGCCCCGCGGTCCCGACGGCCCCCCCGCTGCTCTGGGACGAGAAGAAGTCGGAGTGTGTTGTCTGCATGGAGCAGGAGGTGAGACCCCGGCCCACGCGTGGGGCTGGAGCAGGGGGTGGAGTGAGGGCAGAATCCAGCACAGCCCCTGTGTGTGGTCTTGTAATCCTGAAGATCTCCAGATTCTCCTGAGCTTCAGGAGAGCAGGCTCCATTTCTGGGGCAAAGTGACACCCGTATCGGTGTCCCCAGCCTGGCCCTGAGCAGGTCCTGAGTGCTCATCCCTCCAGCTCTGCAGCGCAGCTGGGCTTGGGCACCGCAACGGGGAGGGAGGACAGGGCAGGGCGGGCTCCCGGTGGGTTTGGGAGGGAGGTGGTGAGCTCCTGGGCCGGGCTGTCCATGGGAAGCTTTCGTGGGGCTGCTCAGATCAGCCCTGAGCCGTGTCCTTCCCTCCTGCACACACAGCGCCAGGCTGTGCGCAGGGACGGAGATGGGGATGCAGGGTCTCCGCCTCCCACGCCATGACACCCCTGGCTGATCCCAGTCTCCTCCAGCCCCATTCCCTCCTGTGCTGGGATGTGTGTTACGGGACAGCAGCACTCACCGTGTCCACCATCTGGATGGTCCCAAAGAGTGGTGCTCAATGGAGTTAGATCCAGCTGGTGGCCGGTCACAAGTGGTGTTCCCCAGGGCTCAGTGTTGGGACCATTTCTGTTTAACATCTGCATTGATGATCTTGATAAGGACACAGAGTGTGTCATCAGTAAGTTCGCAGATGACACCAAGTTAAGTGGGAGTGTTGGTCTGCATGAGGACAGGGAGGCTCCACAGAGAGACTTAGATAGGTTGGATGGATGGGCCAATGTTAATGGGATGAGCTTCAACAAGGCCAAGTGCCGGGTCCTGCCCTTGGGCCACCACCAACCCCCTGCGTTGGTACAGGCTGGGGGACGTGTGGCTGGAGCTGCCTGATGGAAAAGGACCTGGGGGTTCTCATTGACCAGCAGCTGAATATGAACCGGCCGTGTGCCCAGGGGGGCAAGAAAGCCAATGGCATCCTGGCTTGTATTAGAAATAGTGTGACCAGCAGAAGTAGGAGGTGATTGTCCCCCTGTGCGCAGCACTGGTGAGGCCACACCTGGACAGTTGTGTCCAGTTTTGGGCACCTCAATCCAAGAGAGATCTGGAGGTGCTGGAGCCGGGGCAGAGGAGGGCAAAAATCGTACAAAGAGTGATTGAAGGAGCTGGGACTCTTTAGTTTGAGGAAGAGGAGGCTAAGGGGAGACCTCATCACTCTACAACTACTTGAAAGGACACTGTAGAGAGGTTGGTGCTGGTCTCTTCTCCCAGGTAATTAGTGATAGAACAAGAGGGAACAGCTTCAAGCTCCAACAGGGTAGGTTTAAACAGATCATTAGGAAGAGTTTTTGCCCAGAAAGAGTGGTCAGACACTGGATCAGGCTGCCCAGGGAGGTGGTCGATGTGTTCAAGAGTTGTTTAGATGTGGTGTTGGGGGATATGGTGTAGGGGAGAACTTTGTAGAGTAGGGTTGATGGTTGGACTCGATGATCCCAAGGGTCTCTTCCAACCTGAATGATTCTGTGAATCTGTGATTCTATGATTCTCTTCTCTCTCTCTTCTCCCAGACCCAGGCAGTTTTCCTGCCCTGTGGCCACGTCTGCTGCTGCCAGACCTGCAGCCAGCAGCTGCACGCTTGTCCCCTGTGCCGCAGGGACATCACGCAGCGCATCCGCATCTTCCCCAGCGGCTAGGCAGGGCGCAGGACGGGGACCCTGCCCGGCACCCCTTTGTCCCCGGGGTGATGCCCCTCTCCTGCTCCGTGTCAGTATTAAACAGACGCCACACAGCATGGCCAGCACCGCCCCCACCCCCTGCACGGCCCGGCCCGGCTGCACCCAGGAGTCTCAGCATCCTCCATGTTCCCCGACGGCTCCTCAGCCTCCATCTCGGGTTCCTCAGCCTCCACCTTGGGTTCCTCCTTCATCTGCGTCCCCTCCTCATCTCACCCAGTTCCACCAGCCGGTGTTCCCCAGCAAGAGGAGGCTGGGTGGCCACCATTGCCTGGGTGCACTGACTGATGGAGCTGGGTGCAATTCTTACCTCTTCCTCTCTGGCTGATGGATTTGCCTTCAGAAATGCCCCTGGCTCGGCAGGGACACAGTCAGTGCCATCTCTGAAGCCAGAGGTGGGTGAATCTCCCGTGGGAGGACGTGACCAGGAGCGTGCGATGCCATGATGGGGCTCTGTGTCACACCAAAGGTCTGGAACTTCTGCTCTGCTGACCCAGGGGGAGCATGTCTTGGCCACTGGTGGCCGTGGGCAGGGGGATCCCCGACCCCCTCCGTTCGCCTTCCTCTTGTAGGGGAGAGTCCCCACATCCAGGACTGGAGGGACCCACTCTCGCCAGAGGAACCCGGCCAGGTCCCTCATCCGAAAACCACGGGTTGTGAGTGGAAAACGTGGCGGCCACCCGAGAGCCGGCGCGAGTCCCGTGGCCGTGGGCTGTGCCCGTGCCCGTGTGGCTCCGCACGGCCTCTGCGCGGTGGCGGGCGGGTTGTTTGCCCTTGTCATTAATAAGTAACATCCCCCGTCCCTCATTTGTCTCTGGACCTTGAAGTACAAACCGCCCAGAGAAGCCTGGTCCCGGCGCAGCAGCCGTGAAAAAGCAGCTGGTTTCTGGGGGTGGGGGTGGGTGTGTTTGCTGCTTTTTTCCTTCTGCCTGGGAGGGAGGATGCCTGAAAGGAAGAGCCACCGCCTGCCCCTGTCCTGGGGTCATCTCCTCCTCTCCCACCTCCATCTGGGAAGAACTTGAGGTTCTTGGATGTCTCCGAGGGTGTTGCTGACGGTGATACATCCCTGGGGACTTCCAGGCAGGGACAGACCTTGGACCCTGGGCTGGGGCTGCCTCGTGTGTCCTACGGCCGCGCAGGGCACGTGTGTGGCCTTGTGGAGGTGGCCAGTGTGCAGGGACACGTGCCACCAGCCACCCTGGCTGAGCCCTCTGGGGACAGCCCTGGGGACGCGGCGCTGCTGTGGGTGGGAGCTGGTGTGACCCTCCTGGGGACTTGCTGGGTGTTTGGGAGAGGACGTGGCAAACGGGCTGGGGACACGGGGGCTGCTGGCGTTTGGGGTGCGTTGAGGGGAGCCCTGGCAGGGACATTCTCAATCCAAGAGAGATCTGGAGGTGCTGGAGCGAGTGCAGAGGAGGGCAACGAAACTAGTGAAGGGCCTAGAAGACAAATCATATGAAGAGTGGCTGAAGGAGCTGGGACTGTTTAGTGTGAGGAAGAGGAGGCTGAGGGGAGACCTCATCACTCTCTACAACTACTTGAAAGGACACTGTAGAGAGGTTGGTGCTGGTCTCTTCTCACAGGTAATTAACAATAGAACGAGAGGGAACGGCTTCAAGCTCCAACAGGGTAGGTTTAAACTGATCATTAGGAAGAGTTTTTCCCAGAAAGAGTGGTCGGGCATTGGAACAGGCTGCCCAGGGAGGGGGTGGAGTCCCCATCCCTGGATGTGTTTAAGGGCCGTTTAGATGCAGTGCTGAGGGATATGGTGTAGGGGAGGACTTTGCAGAGTAGGGGAGATGGTTGGACTCGATGATCCCAAGGGTCTCTTCCACCCTCAATGATTCTATGATACTATGATTCTGACTCTGACCCACCAGGGGAGGAGGCAGCAGGGACGGGGGGGGGTGGCAGGTCCCAGCCATGTGCTCTGGGCAGCCCTGCTTTGGCCGGGGAGTTGGACTGGGTGATCTCTAGAAGGTCCCTTCCAACTCTGACAATTCCCTGACCATCTGCAGAGCCCCAGCCCCACAGGGAGCCCCCCGGGGACCACGCTGGGAGCCCCCACGTGTGCAGCTGGAGAGAGACAGAGTCACTTCAGTTCTGGGTGCCCCGAGACCTGCTGGGCAGCAATCACTGCTCCAAACTGTCCCCTCCATCCCGTCCCACCGGTGGGCAGCGATTGCCTTCGGGGGGTAATGAGTGACAGGAGCCCAGGGCAAGGTCCGCCGCCCGCCCGTAAATAAGTGCCAGCCTTTCCTGGGGCATCAGCGGTGCCCGGGCTGTCCCTTGTCCCCAACCCCACCATGGATGGGGACACCACAATGGCTGGGGCATTGCCTGGGGACTGCCAGCTCATCCCCACTGACCATGCCCTGTGTCACCCAGGCTGGGCTGAGGGATTGTCACTGACCTGGGGTGGGGGATAAAAAATAAATTAGAAATAAAAGCATCATTGCCTTTTCCTACGCCCTGGAGCCCTGCGGGGCCGGGGTGCTCCGCAGCTGCTCTTGGCTCCGTGCAGCCCTCTCGGGGGACAGGTTGGTGGCAGGAGGGTGGCCACGGACACGTCCTGTGCCAGGGGACAAGTCTGCCCCAGGTCTGGTGTGACGTGAATGCATGAGGGGTGGGGGGGCTCATGTGTGTCCCTGGTGAGCGCGCCCTAAAATAAAATAATAACAAAATGCACACATTGTGCTCGGGAAATAGCAGCGAGTGGCTTCGTGGAGGGAAAGGGGAAGAAAAGCAGGTTTTTTAGTGTGGGCAGCCCCTTTCCTGGGCCGGGGGAGGAGCGCGTCGGTCCAGTGCCCGCTGAGCACCCCAGGGCCGGGCTGAAGTTCAGCGGGGGGGTGGCCACCCTCGCCCCCCACCCCGTCCCCCCCGCCCCCGGGGACGGCCGTCACCCGCCTCCTGCCTTCAAAAGCCGGGGCGGCCGGGCCGAGCGCCCCCGGAGCACCATGGCTGTGGGGCCGGAGGCCGGCGGGGAGTGCGGGATCTGCTACGAGGCGTATCGGGGTGCCGGGGGGGTCCGGGCCCCCCAGCAGCTGCCCTGTCGCCATTCCCTCTGCCTCAGCTGCCTGCGCAAGCTGGTGTGTCGTGCTGCCCCCGTCGCCTTCGTCAGCTGCCCCTTCTGCAGGACGGTGACTCTGGTGCCAGAGCTGGCACCGGGGGGTCCCGGGGCGACGCCAGATGGGGAGGAGGAAGAGGAGGGGGAGGAAGGCGGCAGGGACCCCCCAGCCGCCCCCCGAGCCCCGGTGCGCCCCGTGGAGATGGCATGTGTGACCCATGGCCCTGTCTTCGCGGTGAGCGGGATGGTGTCCCCCTGCGGCCTCCGCCGCGGCCCCGAGGTGCCCGGTGCCTTCGTGCTGGGGCTGCCGGGGCGGGGGCTGCTGCTGGACACGCAGCCCCCCCTGGCCTCCATGGAGAACCTGCGCCTGGGCTTCGCCGCCGGCATCCTCGTCCTCATCGTCTCCACCTTCTTCCTCCTCGTCTTCCTCAAGTAGGTCCCATGGGGAAGAAGGGGCTCCTGTCCCCGCCGGGGGCAGCCAGAATGGACCCAGCCGTGGGGCAGGGGCTTCTCAGCCCCGGCGACGTGGGCAGGGAGAGGGCCCAGGATGGGGCTGGGGGCTCAGCGCCCCCCAGGATCCAGCCCGGGTGCGTTGGGGGCCGCAGGACGCTGGGCTGCCCCACACACGAGCCCGGGGGGCATCAGACTTCTTAAAAATTAACTTATTACGGCGGTTTCCTCCTCCCCCCCGGGGTCTCCTGCGCTCGTCTCCGGTTTATAACACTCCCGGTGCCTCCGGACCCCCCGGCGGGAGTCACGGCGTGGGGGCCACACGCCATTCCCGGTGTCGCAATCCCACAGGCTGGAAAATTCTCCCCCCCCGGCCCCGGCTGCGCTTCAGCCCGTGTCACTGGCAGCGAGGACGGGGCAGAAGGGGCCGGGCAGGGTCCCCGTGGGCTGTAGCCCTGGGAGAGCGGCCGGTGGGGGACACGCAGGGGGACGCGGTGGCCGGGGAAGGACCCAGCCCTGGGGAGACACAAGCCATTAAAGCCAGACGTTGGCCCAGCGCCGGCTCCGGTGGTTTTTCTCTCTCCCTGAGGCAGGGAGAGGTTGGTTTGCAGCAAGAAAAAGGTGCCACCTTCGCTCTCCGCGGGCAGGGCTGGGTGGGAAAACCAGGGCCTGGGCACAGAGAAGGGGGTCCCCGCTCCTGCGCCCCAAGTCCTACAGGGAAGCAGGCGTCGAGCCCCATCCCGCCCCACAGCAGCCTCCTGGTCCCGGTCCCAGCCTCAGCCCCCTCTCTCCCTCCCTCCGTCCCTGGTACCATGTTCCCACCTCCCGGCCCCAAACAGCACCCAGAAGTGGGACCAGCCCCTTCACAGCCCCCCCAGGGTGGCATCTGCCCCCTCCCCGGGACCTGGCACCTCCATCGCTCCCAGTGCCCAGGAGCCCCAGAGGCCACTGTCCCCCCCCCCAGGGGGCCCAGAACTTTCTCACCCCAAGGACTCAGGCACAGGGGACAAACACTGTTTATTTTAGGTCCCGAGAAGGAGCCAGGAAAAAAAAAAGTGGGGAAAAAAACCTGAGGTAGAGGGAGACACCAACATGGGGAAGGGGCTGGGGTACCAGCCGTGCCCACCTTCTAGAGGGACAAGTGTCGAATCCCAACCCCTGCGGAGCCGAGCAGGGACCCCCCTGCACCCACGGACCCTCCTGCACCCACGGACCCCCCCTGCACCCACGGACCCTCCTGCGAGAGACCGGGCTGCAGCAAAGCCCCGGGAGATGCCTGAGGTCCCTCCTGGAGAACCTTCACCATCATCTTCTGTCCTGCACCTCCTCACACCACCACAGCGTGACCCGGCAGCCGCTGCACTCACAGCATGGAGGGACCGTCCCTCCTGTCCCAGGAGAGGGTTTAACAGCGGATTTTCTACCTCAAATCAGTCTCCAGCCAGAGCCAAGGCAGTTTTCAAGCGCGTCGAAACAGACGGAGGCAGACTGTGCAGTAAAACCCACGCAAGCAAAACCACACAGGTTTAATTGCACTTTATTTTTTGGGAAGTGAAGGGCGAAGGCCTGGGGTTGTCTGTCTGTACCGGGATGTGTCAGCACCAGCAACAACCTCCCCCAGGAGCAGGGCAGGGTGCTCAGGACAGGCTGTAGCTCAGGGGAGCCCCCAAAAACCTGGGTCTCACCCACCCTCACTGCTCCGTGCTCTGACCTTCCCCAGGGACCCCCAGCCGAGTCCTCCCTGTGACACAGGGGCCTGGGGGGCAGCAGGGGCAGCTCTTTCACAACCTTCGGTCTCAGCCTCAGTTTTGGCTGCATTGGGCAGTTTGTGGTAGGGACAGGGACCTGCCACGCTCAGGAACAGGAAACCCCAGTGCTCTTTTCTCCCCTACCCCATAATTTGCATTTAGGAGGACACAGATCAAATTCTTCTCAGAAATAAGAGGCCGTTGTAGAAACTAAACTCTAGTGGAGTTAATTTAAGCGCTTCCATTTTATTAAGTGAAGGGGGTTATGAGTTCTAGAGACACTAAGAACCTGCTCCCAGCTTAAGCTGCGTTAGTGCCGATGAGTATGGAGGTAAAGGTGCTACGAGAACCCCAAGGTGCCTGCCCAGCCCCCCCTCCTCACTCCTTCACATCTTGGTCCACTACGGCTCAGCAGTTACTCCCCCAGCCCAGGCTGCCCCGCAGAGCCCTGGTGAGGCTGGTCACAGCTTCTGTCCCACCATCACCCAGTTTGAACTGGTGCTGTGACCATGGCGCTTCCAAGAGCGGCAGAGAAAAAGGCACAGGAGAGGGGCTGGGCTCCCTGCAGGGACCCTGCTCTGGGGAAGGAGCACGTTACACACCTGTATTGCTGCTTCCACTGCCAGGGAAGCACCACCCAGTGAAAAAATAACCTCCCCTCTGGCCACAGAGAGAGAAGAGAGGAGCTGGCTGCACAGGGAATCATTTCTGTGAGGCCTCTGGGAGCCTCAGGGTCCTCCCTAAAACCCAGCTGGGAACCCACCTCCTCCCCCCAGCAGTTCCTGGTTGCTACATCTCTGCTGGGAGCATCAGGAGAACAGAGGCCAGGTACCCCGGCTGCAGATCAGTGAGCACCACAGGCACCAGAGCTCTCAACACCCCAGAGCACCCACCTGAACCACCCCAGCCTGGAGGTTGCCCTGAGCCACCAGTCGGGAGCCACTGGCCCATAGAAACACCCACATGGGGCCTCTGGGCCCCGTCTCCCACTGCACATCACTAACACCTGGGGATAAACCAGTGTGGAGGCCCTGGGAACTGGTGGGAATCTTCCGAGGAGACCTTCACTGGGGGAGGAGGGGAGATTTTAGTCTGTTTTTTTTTTTTTAACAAGTAGTTACTCCTGCAGGGTCCTGCCAGACTCGTTCTTCTGAAGCACTTCCCAAAGTTCACATTTGCATAAAGTTTCAGAGGAATGAAGGGAGGGTTGGCAGAAGTAGGACAGCAAGAGAGAGGGGCAGGAAGACCCTCAGCCCCTCCCCAGCCTCTGTGTCTCTGCCTGGTCAGAGCCAGGGGTCCCAGCCAGTGCCAAGAGCCCCCTGCTCTCAGCCCCATGGGTCGGGGGGACAAGAGCCTGGCATATCCCTGGTTGTTCACAACTGTCCCAGGTCTGAGGCTCGTTAAGTGCCAGGCACACAGGAAGAGGAGAGGGCTCACAGGCGCTCACCAGCCGGCTCTTCATCCCAGCCAGTCCAGGTCATCATCATCATCATCGCCAAACAGCGGAGCTGGAGGGGGACGCCCCTTCATGCTCTGGAAGTAAAACCAGAGGGAAATGTGTCAGTCTCAACAGCTTCCCAGTATTTAGTAACTGCTGCACAGCTCTGGCTCTGGACTCTCCAGCAGCTTCAGGGAGATGATTTCAAGAAGCCTCATTACTGACACTTTTGTACTTTTCATACAATGGCTTAATATTCCAGGAGAGAGAGACCTACGGGCTGAAAGGGAGGGGAGAGGGGTGAGACACTAAAACCCTGCAGTGACCTCGGCAGCTCTCACTGATTTCATGCCAGCAGGAGTTTGTCCTCACTCCCTGCCCAGGGAACCCTTCCGAGCTCAACGAGAAACAAAATCCAAAATATTCCTGATTTATACTGAAAACGCAGGGGAAGCTCTGAGCTGGGCCAGCAGGAGCCAGGCCCCCACCCCCGTGGGAGGGGCTTCAGACACGCTACAGGTTAATGCTGAACCTGTTTGGTAGCAGTGGAAAGACACAACCACCTACCACTTCCTCCTCATCCTCCTCTTCAGAGGGAACTCGAGGCTTCAGTGGTTTAGGAGATGCCGTTTCAAAGAAGTCGTCATCCTCAAAGAGGCTAGAAGAAGGTAGAGAATTAACAGCTTGTTTGTAACATCAGGATCCCATCATCTAGAAGGTCTATTAAAGAATGATGTAGAAGTTTTGTCACTGAGCCACACTCCTGAGGCATGGACTCCTTACCAGAGCAGAATGCTTATTTATCAATACTTATAAATACTTCAAGGGTGGGTGTCAGGAGGATGGGGCCAGGCTTTTTTCAGTGGTGCCCAGGGACAGGACAAGAGGGAATGGACACAAATTTGAGTATAAGAAGTATCCACCTAAACATGAGGAGGAACTTCTTTCCTGTGAGGGTGGCAGAGCCCTGGCAGAGGCTGCCCAGAGAGGTGGTGGAGTCTCCTTCTCTGGAGACATTCAAACCCACCTGGACACGTTCCTGTGGGACCTGCTCTGGGTGGCCCTGCTCTGGCAGGGGGTTGGACTGGATGATCTCCAGAGGTCCCTTCCAGCCCCATGTGATACTGTCAATGACAATGGGACCTGGCAACGAGTATGAGGTCCCAGGGAAGGTTCATGCTCCCCTGTTGCACTCAGCTGGAACCCATTAACAGGGATAAACAGCACCAATGTCCCCCCAACACCATGGTGGCCCTACAGCCACCCTCCCAGCAGAGCCTGCCCCCCAACAGCCTGCTCTCTGCCAGCACTGTGATGGTGCTTCGGCCCCACCAGGCACTGCCCCACAGCTGGGACACAGCCGTGCCAGCCCCTGGGCAGCTGCCAGACCAGAGCCAGGGAATCAGCAGGGAAATGGGACTGGGGATGCCTCAGCAGCCACCCCTCACCTGGAATCTTTCTGCCTGGGGCTGGAGCCCAGTTCCTGCCGTGCTGGGGTTTCTCTGAGAGCTGGGCTCAGCCCTGCTGGGCTGGGTGCTGAAGATGGCTCCTTCTCAGAGCTACTTTCATCTGTGCAGATCCCTCCATCACCATTCAAGGGAGGGGGCTCTAAACCCCCCACGGGCTCCTCTGCCTCCTGCTCTGCAGCTGGCTTTTCTGGAGGCACTGCCACATCCACTTCTCCTGGCTGGGCTTCTAGAAGAGAAGGTTCTGCAGCTTCTGCCTGCAAAGATACTCTGGAGGGACCACATTCAGTCTCAGCTCCCCCCATGGGACTGCTCTCCTGCCTTTGCTCAGCGGGGACAGGGTCTGCATCCACCTGGGGAACAGGCTGTCCTGCAGGGTCAGGACCCAGGCAGGATTCAGCTGTGGAAGAGAGAGGCTCCCCCTGGACCTTTTCCTCTTCTGACACCCCACTGCTCTGCGTCACCTGCTCTTCCTCGGCAGTTCTGGGCCTGGCAGACAGAGCAGGGGACTCATCTTCCTGGTCAGACACCGTGGAGCCTGCAGTGGCTTCCCCAGGACCAGCTGGGAATGTCACACTCTGCGCTGGGCTACGCTGCATGGGCTCTTCATTGTCAGTCTTTGCTCCAGGTGATGCCTCCTGTCTCGCTGCTCCTGTTCCAGATTCCTCCTTTTTACCATCATCATCTGGTTTCTCCTGCTGCCTATTGAGTAGCTGCAGTGTTACAGTCTGAAAAATTGGGAAGAGAGAACATAGGTTATACCCTAAACATAATCAGGTGCCTGTATCATCTTCTACTCCTGGGCTGCTTTGCCACCCACAACAGTTTCTGTTTCAATGAGTTCAGACTCCCAGGAGAAGTCTGTGTTTTCAGCCCCAGACTCGTTCCCTCACACCCATCACCCTGTGTCCCTCACCACTCTCATACCTTAATGGTGTTCATGACAACGCCCAGAACCGTCCTCCCACTGTACGTCTCTTCCAGCTCAAACTCACCCCGAAGAGATTGAAACACACCATTCATTATCTTCTTTACCTGGAAAAGAGCAAGACAGGAAACAAAGGTAAGATCCATTACCAGAGGAAGAGACCTCCGGAGATCATCCAGTCCAACCCCCTGCCAGAGCAGGGCCACCCAGAGCAGGTCCCACAGGAACGTGTCCAGGTGGGTTTGAATGTCTCCAGAGAAGGAGACTCCACCACCTCCCTGGGCAGCCTCTGCCAGGGCTCTGCCACCCTCACAGCAAAGAAGTTCCTCCTCATGTGTAGGTGGAACTTCTTATATTCAAATTTATGCCCATTTCCTCTTGTCCTGTCCCTGGGCACCACTGAAAAAAGCCTGGCCCCATCCTCCTGACACCCACCCTTGAAGTATTTATAGGTGTTGATCAGATCCCCCCTCAGCCTTCTCTTCTCCAGACTAAACAGACCCAAGTCCCTCAGCCTCTCAAGTGGTTTCCAAAGAATCCACTTCTCAAATCAGAAATTCCCATAGTGAAGCAGAATACATCACACTGTCTTCATCCAGAACCATCACACACACCCCCCAAACCCATCCCTCCAGAACTGAGGCAGGTTGCACAAACCCAAAAGACAGCCTGACACTTAACTTCTTATCATTTGTACATCTAAATTTACAATTTGTACATCTAAACCTCAAGTCTTAAACTATAACACCCCCAAAAAAATCAAGCAACCAAGTGGGCAGCAGGGTGATCTCACCCTTCCTGCCTCTGCAGACCCTGCTGCTAGCAACACAGCGCTTCTGAGGAGAAAATAGTGTTTTCCCTTCTTATCTCTGCTCCAAGGGTAGTGTTTTCCCTTCTTATCTCTGCTCCAAGAGAAATAGAATCATAGAATCATAGAGGTTGGAAGAGACCCTTGGGATCATCGAGTCCAACCATCTCCCCTACTCTACAAAGTCCTCCCCTACACCATGTCCCTCAGTACCCCATCTAAACGGCCCTTAAACACATCCAGGGATGGGGACTCCACCCCCTCCCTGGGCAGCCTGTTCCAATGCCCGACCACTCTTTCGGTGAAAAATTCCTTCCTAATGTTCAATCTAAACCTCCCCTGTTGGAGCTTGAAGCCGTTCCCTCTCGTTTTCTATTGTTAATTACCTGTGAGAAGAGCCCAGCACCAACCTCTCTACAGTGTCCTTTCAAGTAGTTGTAGAGAGTGATGAGGTCTCCCCTCAGCCTCCTCTTCCTCATACTAAACAGTCCCAGCTCCTTCAGCCGCTCTTCATATGATTTGTTTTCCAGCCCCCTCACCAGCTTCGTTGCCCTCCTCTGCACTCGCTCCAGCACCTCCAGATCTCTCTTGGATTGAGGTGCTCAAAACTGGACACAACACTCGAGGTGTGGCCTCACCAGTGCTGAGTACAGGGGCACAATCACCTCCCTTCTTCTGCTGGTCACACTATTTCTAATACAAGCCAGGATGCCATTGGCTTTCTTGCCCCCCTGGGCACACGGCCGGCCCATATTCAGTCGTTTGTCAACTAGAACCCCCAGGTCTCTTTCCTCCAGGCAGCTCCAGCTACACTGCCCCCAGCCTGTAGCGCTGCAGGGGGTTGGTGTGGCCCAAGTGCAGGACCTGGCACTTGCCCTTGTTGAAACTCATGCCGTTGATCTTGACCCAGTGATCCAATCTATCTAGGTCCCTCTGTAGGGCTTCCCTATCCTCCTGGGAATCAACACTCCTGCTTAACTTGGTATCATCTGCAAACTTGCTGATGATACACCCTATGTCCTTATCGAGATCATCAATAAAGACGTTAAATAGAAATGGTCCCAGCACTGAGCCCTGAGGCACACCACTGGTGACCGGCCGCCAGCTGGATTTGAATCCATTGAGCACAACTCTTTGGGACCTTCCAGTCAGCCAGTGCTTGATCCAGCAGATCGTGTGCTCGTCCAGGCCGTGTGAAGCAAATAATACAAGGCAAACAGATTTGCTTAGTGAAGGGAAATACTGGCTAGTGAAGCTCACTTCTTCTGTGAAGTCTGCAGATGAAGAGCCATCTTGCTGCCTCTCCAGGTCTCGGATGCGTTCCTCATAGCGAGCCCTCAGCGCCGCAGCGTCCTCCTGCAGGGCTGAGTACTGCCAGGGGAAACCAGGAGTTAGAGCAGCTCCAGACACCACTGCAACGGATGGGGAACAGGGGAAATGGGATCTGGAAACAGCTTCTTAGCAAGGGGCAGAATTGGGGAGTGGAGTTTTAAGCTGGGCTTTGATAGAGAGTTGCAAGAGACTTGGCTGAAATGACCAGCACCAAAATAAAGCCATCCAACCCAGCCCAAACCCCGGAGATCCACAACCGTGTCATCAGCTCTTCAAGTTACACCCAGAACAGGCACAGCATTACTGAGACCCCAGTGGAACAAGGTCTGGGTCTCACCACCAGACCTGTGCTGGTTTGCTGGGAGTTATTCCTTCCCTCTCATGCTCTGGAACTCATGTTATTACTCTGGACACAGGTATCCCAAGGCTAGTGATCACTGCTCTCCAGTTCACAGGCAGCTGCCGTGTTCTCCCCTTTACCTTCTCTTTGATAGGCTCCAGTTGCTCCAAACGTTGCTGAAACTCAGATGATTTTTGCTCCTCTGCTTTTTTCGAGTGTTTCAGAGCTGCAACCTGAAAGACAAGAACCAGAGCCCATCAGTTTCCAGCCCCTTTCGGTGTCACCCACTTCCAAACAGCTTCTGCTCAAAAGCAGTCACTCAGAACAGCACAGAAAAGCAGAGGAGACCGTAGCTGTTGTTTTAGCCCGAGACTGACAGCACCTTGGCTCTCCCTCACTCAGGACTGGGCAGTAAATCACTGGCCCACCATCTCAACCTAAGAGATGCAAGCACAGACACATCCCCCGGGCAAGATCAAATTCAAGTAGTCAAGAAATTAAAGAGTCAAATGGTGGGAGAGGGTAGTTGGTTATAGTTACTGGTTATTTGGCATGACATTTCAGCAATAAACCCAGCCCTTTTACCTTCTCTTCCAGCTGGGACAGCTGCTGCTGCAGGGAATCCCTCTGCTCACACACCTCCTGGTACTCTCTAAGATGCTGCTCCTTGGCCGAGGCCAGCGCCCGCTCACATTTGGCTTCCCACTGGGATTCCAGCTCTGCCTGGACGAGTGATAGCTGCCCATCATGTGAGAGAGATCGTCAGGAACATGCTCACACAATCTGTATTTGCACAAGCAGCTGAAAATTTGGGGCTGGACAACACCTCCTGCCCTCAGCTGGAACACCCACACGGGAATGGCAGCCCTGGAGCAGGCACCAGCTCCTGCCCACTCCTCTCAGAGTTTAGTTCTGGCCACGATCCTTCAGACTGGCACAGGTTTCAGATCCCTTGGCATATTTCTAAGCAGCCTTTCACTCGGCAGCAGCCCTGAGTTCTCTCTACTGTGAGCTTCATTTGGTGCCTCTCCTTCCCTCAGCCTGACCCCGATGCCAGGTGCCAGCCCACATCCATGCTGCCCCAAAACTCTACAGCTGCAGCAGGAGCCCGTGGCTGGAGTCAGAGAGACTAGGACCCGGCAGCCTCCCTGCCTGCTCACATCATCTGCCTCCTTAGAGACATCAGTGTAAAGCCCAGAGGCAGATGCAGGGCCAACAAACACCAGCAAAGATACTTCAGAAAGACAAAGTGAACCCTTTCTTGAAGTTAACCCCTAAAATCAAGCAGGCAACGTCTTTGTTTTTCCACTCCCTGAGCGTTTTCACAACTATTTCCCACCCATATGTTCCTACAAACCTTCCAGGCCCTCTCTGGAGAAGCTGCCATGACTCCTCACCTGCTCTGCTGCTGCCTGGTCAGTCGAAGTCCGTGCCTTTTTCAGCAGCTGCCGAAGCTTGTCCAGCTCCTGCTGGTACGATCTGCGTATTTCTTCCATCTCTTCCTCAGCTTGAGCTCTCTCCGAGAGGGATTTCTTCTTCCTTTCTGCAAGATTCTGCAATCCAGAACAGGACACAGAATAAGCCAGATTGCACCGAAGTAGCTTCTCTTCCTTGTGCAGAAAAAGCTTCTTTGAGCAGGGAATGTTATCACTTTAAAATCAAGCTGAGATTACTTTAGAGGTAGGAAGGTTAACATATTACTGTCTAAGATATGTGATTTTTATTAAATTTTTTTAATAAGTACAAAGAGTCCACCAGCACAGGGATCCTTGCCCGTGGATGAGTCAAGATTTACCTAATTTGCATGTTTACAAGCAAGAATATTGGGTTAAATTTCAGCAAACAACTGAAACCCTGCATCTCTGTATCGCTGGCACTGGACGTACCCTTTCCAGGGTCTCCTTTTCCACTTTTAGGTCCGTTAACTCTTCTTCCAACGCTGTGATCTTCATGTCCAGCTGCTTGCGGCTCTGCTTCTCAGCTTTGAACCTACTCTGAGTGTCCTCAGAGGCTTCTTGGAGCTCTGCAAAAAAAAAAACAAAACATAAAACCACACACCTCACTGTGGGTGTCAGCACTACCTGTATTTCAGGTTAGAGCTTTTTGGGGCTGGCGGGAAGGAACAGTGTCTTTTGCACAATGAAATCAACCCCACGGCTTCACCTGCAGAGGGAACTAGAATTTATCAAGAGTTTCTTCTGTGAAATGGCAACGCTTATACCTCAGCTTTTATCTTAACTTTTCAGCCACTGGAGCATCTCTGGTTCCTCTGTGAGGACAGCAATCCCCGTGACGGGATGACTTTGTTCATTGATTCATCCCAGTTTCCTTGTGGCAGTAACGAGGACGCACGTACCCTTCAGACATTCCAGGGCATCAGTATCCTTCTTGGATACCCCTGTGGTCTGGAATTCTGGAAGTGACTGGCCAGAAGGCAAGAATTTCTGAATATCACCAGAGGAGGAGGTGACTCTTGCGGAAGAAGCCCCACGCTGGGTGCCAAAGAGGACTATCATGGTTTAGCCTCAGATGGCAACAAAGAACCACGTAGCCACCCTCTCACTGCCCCCAGCCGTGGGGAAAATTGGAAGAAAAAGGCAAAACTTGTGGGTTGAGACAAAGGCAATTTAACAGAAGAGCAAAGGGAACAGGAAAACAATAACACTAATAGAGGAATGTACAAACACTAATTATGGCACCAGCACTCACCCACTGGACCCGGGATGCCCCAACCCACTCCCCAGTGACTCCCTGCCACCACCCCAGCTTTAGACTGGGCATGGCCGACATGGGATGGATACTGTGTCCCTGCCAGATCCTGGTGAAGATTAACCCCAGAGATAGGACAAAAGAAAAAAGGCACAAATTTGGACATAAGAAGTTCCACCTAAACATGAGGAGGAACTTCTTTGCTGTGAGGGTGGCAGAGCCCTGGCAGAGGCTGCCCAGGGAGGTGGTGGAGTCTCCTTCTCTGGAGACATTCAAACCCACCTGGACACGTTCCTGTGGGACCTGCTCTGGGTGGCCCTGCTCTGGCAGGGGGTTGGACTGGATGATCTCCAGAGGTCCCTTCCAACCCCATGTGAACCCTACCCCCGCCAGAACCAGGACATTACCCCAGAAGAAAGGAAAAGCTTATGACTTCGAAAAAAGAATGACCTCAAGGATCTCTCATGGGACAGGCACAAGACCTCCTACCTGCTAACTGTGCCTGCAGTTTATTGAGCTGTGTCTCATGTCGCTCTGCCTCCTGCAGGGCAGCAGACAGTTGTTTCCGCAGGTCCATCTCCTTCTTCTGGTGGGCCGTCAGCTCCAGCTGCAGCTGGGAAACCTGCGCCGTGGCGGCTGCTAACTCCTCTGCAACTTTGGCCTGTGTCACAAAACGGAGCAGGGAAAAGGGAGGGAAAAGTGATGTGAGTGTGAGGAGGCACCAGAACCACTCTCGCAGGAAGAACCGATAGGGTACTGGAGACCTTAATGGGGAAGCACTGGGATCCAGCTCCTCACAGACACCTCCAAATTGAAGAGGTAACGATAACCTTTTTTGGCCACGTAACTGAGTGGTTTGGCTGTAACCTGTCCAGACTGACTAGGAATTTGCACAAAGCCATCAACAACCTCATCACCACATTAATTCAACTCAGTGAGTTTTCCTCGAGATGCTTAAACACATCTTTAAGACTAGTACCAGTGCCCCGTGGCTCTGCTCAGAGTTGTCAGGCTACGACAGCATCTACTCAACTAAAACCCTGGGCTCCAACATCTAATTATCTTCAATAAGGTTACAAGTCACTGAAAAGCCACACAAAGCATAGGCTTGTTTCAGCCATAAGAGCACCTTCCCTCAGAGCACGCAGCATGTAGCCACCTTGAGGTGCCCAGAGGGGCAAGGCTGTCATTTGGAGCAGAGCTCTCACAGGAATTTGTTGATGTGTTTGGATTCAGGATCGCTCAGTCGGTGACTCATGTCAAACCAGGTACGATACAGCTCGTTAGACAACTTGTAAACAGTACATCAGGGGAGGCTCAAGGCATCAAGACAAAGGCACAAAGAGACGCTCCCAGTTTTGTTGCACAGCACAAAGTTCAGAGGATGCTCTGCAGAGACAGAGCTGCACCAGTCAGAAATCCTCACTTGCTGCAGGGAATTCCTGGATCCACACCTACAGCCAGAGTCCCAACAGCCTTTCACTGCCCTGTAACTGGAAACTGCAGGAGAACTGGAGTTTCTCTCTGCTTTATCCCCATAAGAGAATTAAAGTGCTTGTCTTCAGACTAGGACCACTGCCTTCTGGCAGAGAAGAACTGTGAGCAAAACTGTTCCAACTGTGGTGAGGATGAACCTGTGCAGACCTTGAGGGCCGGGACACCACACCATTCATTTTAAAGAGGAGGCAACATTTCAACAGAGACTGGCTAAAAACAATCTGTTTTCCTCTTACGTTTCCATAAAAGTCTCCCTGCAGTTCAAGATACTAACTCCTCGCGTGCTAAAACCAAACCCAAACCCAAACCCCATGGCATTATCTAAAGGTTGCTTTAACACTTGCCTTTGTCCTTAATGACAAATAAAGAGAAAGAAAAAGGAAATCTCAGGCCAGGGACTGTTACTAGGCTTAAGTTCCCGCAGTGAACATTTCGTGTCCACATTAGCTCAGCTCCAGCCTCCAGCTTTCAGGTACCCAGAATCTCCTGTGATCAGTGTCTGCTCTGACAATTACACGATCCTGTCCTGTTTCTCCCGTGGGGGAGGTGAAATGAGCAGCATGTGACAAAGCTCCCTGAAAGGGCTCCCCAAGAAAGAGGGGATCAGTGGGCGACGCTGCCATTTATAAAGCCCTTTTCCAAGCTGAAGATCCATCCGTGCTAATTCAAGATCTGAGGCAATTATGTGAACCCCAATCAGCCTGTAGCTAGTTGAAGAGGAAGCTGGGCTGGCCCTACCAAGGGCACAGTTCTGTGTCACCCCACAGTCAGCAGACACTGCCTCACCTGGTCCCAGCCCCGATCCGCTGGCGGCATGTGCTAGGGAAGAGAAAGCAGCGACAGGAAACAGCAAGAGTTAAGAACACAACTTGAAAGGCAGAGGCATTAATCATCATCAGTAAAGCAAAACGCTTCATTACAGGAGCCTAAGACATGCCAGAAAAGCCTTTAAAATATTTCAAGAGCTGTAAAAGCTTAAGTAGTGAAGCCTGGCTTAAAAAGAAAGAAGGTAAAGGTACCTTCAGAGGTAGATCACACCCCCAGAGGCAGGAGTGGTCCCTGTGAGCACCGTGGCACTGGGAGGGGGGTGTTACTGACCCTTATGGCACACAAAGCCCTCAGCTCCAGCTGTGACATGCTCTGCCAGGGTCAGAGGTCTAGGACCCAAAGCAGCAAGCCACTACTACCTCCTCTCAGTCATCCTGGGGACAGATGCCTGGCCTGGGTCACAAAATAAAAGGTGACTCCCTACTTTTAAAGTAAAGAATAGATAAACCAGCTTAAAGTTCTCTTCCCTGACTCTGTCTGTCTGCAGTGATGTCGGCATGGCAGTCACAGAGCAAGCTGGGTTAGATAAAAGGAAGAGGAAGGAATCCCAGCCTTCATGTTTACAGTCAGTACTCTCACAAAATTTGGGGAAATCTTCTCCCAGTGCAAAAAGTGTTTTTTCTGGTCCAGCCTGAAGTCTATTCATGTAGCAGCATTATCACCCAGGCAGTGACAGCTCACCCGGGTGGACTCCTATTGAAGACTAGGCCCAAAAGATTCCTGAAGATCATATCTTAGGCTTCCAAAAGATGCTTCCTCCCCAAGTTACTTATCCCACAAGCTGGATGCTGTACTCACTGGCAGAAAGGAATTTATTATTTCCAATCTGACTTATTCCTGGTTAGAATCTCTCACACTCCCTACATGTTATGGGTATGTGACCTGGGCGCTTGGTGGAAAAAGGCAGCTCTCCCTCCTTGCTCACCCAGCACACAGTTATCAGCCATCTATTGCTCTGTTCTTTAGCACATTTGCTAATATACTTTGGAAAGCTGCAGTTTCTGCCATTTTCTGATGTACCAGGTTATGGTTCTCATGCAGAGCAAGCATTTATCATCTCACATTTGACCAGGAAAGATACAGAGCTCAGTGAGGGAGCACGGTGCGAGGCTGAGCCTGGTGTAAATTAAGGAGCCAGTGCTTGAGAGCGCGGAGGCCACACCGTGTCGTCCCAGACCTCAGAGCCCCCCTGGGCTGGGACCAGTGGGCATTACAGCATTCACAGCCATGCATTAAGTGCCTTGAACTGGTTTGAAAGCTATTTCCCAACAGCCCCTTTCACACAAGCACAATACATCATTAGTAGAAACAGCCATCTTTTGGTTAGTATTAAGAAAGAAAAAAAAAAAGGTGTAAAAAAGTGCAGTTATGAAACTCTAGTAGGAAATGATTTTTCTTATAGCTACTTTCACTCTATGTCAGTTAAATAGAAGGAATAAAAAAAACCTCCTGAAACTATCAGGGCAACTGGATAAACAAAGTATATTTTCAATCTGACAAAACCCTGTGATACACAAAATTCCTCAACATGTTGGCCATATACCTACAATTTTAACAATAAATCAGGAACTTTCCTGTAAGCTAAGAATATTCAAGCTACGACAGCATAAAAATCTACATTTATATCCTCTGTGCTGCTTTGGTTATGAACGCCGTGAAATATTCAAATTGTTTCTCAAAACAGCATTCAAAACTAATTTCAGAACTGCTTTTGCCTGGCAGAAGAATGGGCTCCAGCCTCAACTAAGGTGGCTTCAGTGGGTTTTAGTGCAACAAGCAGCCCCTTTCCCAGCTGCAGGCAGAGCTCTGCGGCTCCTCGTCCCCATTACCTTCTCCTGCTCTGCGTGCAGCACTCTGGCCTGGGTGTTTTCATTTGTGGTTTGCAGTGAATGGTTCCTCTGCTCCATCAGCAAGTTACTTTGCTCCACGTACCTGTGAAGAGGGGAAGGCCACGTGAGCATTTACATAAATACATGACCTGGAGCAAACGGCGCCGATAGAAAAGGTGATATTTCAAAGCAGTTTTCTCCATGACAAGTCCCAGACAATTTTGCAGGATGCTCTGCCCTGAAGAGCCCGATCCCAGAAGGGTGGGATGGGTGTGCCTGGCCCAGCAGAGATTATATCAGTTCAGGTAACGCTTCACCTCTTTGCAACAAGTCTAATCATCCTATCACCCAGTTAAAGACTTTTGATACCCTGATATCCACTGGCCTTTGCCATTTCCTTTAAGAAGGGGAATAACTTGTTTAACTGCCTTGAACCCAGACCCAGCCATGGAACTAGGGACACCACATCCTCTACAATTTCTTCCACCTTACTAAAAAGCTAGCAAAAGTAAATTAACTCCCAGAAGCAGAGCAAGTGTGCTCAAACAAGGTTTGAGGGTTTTTTTAACACATTCAAGTAAACTGCCATTTTGGAGACATGCCCTGAGGGGGTGGGGAACCACACTTTTAATGCCTTGAAAAAAACAAACAGCAAACCACCTTACAATAGAATGTCTCTATGCTAAAGGGCACCTCTCCTGGTTATACCTAACCAAGCATAGGCTAGAAAGACTTGGCAGGTGCAGGGGGGCAGTTCTCTCCCACTCCTTACCTCTGATTCCGCTCGATCAACTCGCTGATCTTCTCGTTCTGCTCCTCAATCCGACTGCTCTTCTCAAATATCTCTTGCTTCAGCCTCTCATTCTCCTAAAGCACAGCCCAGCATGAGTATTTGTCTTACTCTAGACTTCCTTGCAGCAGCACCTAAGCCTTTGCTTGGTACAGATGCAGGACAGCAGTGAGACTGATCACCTTTGGGGGCCACTGAACAGGAAGGTGCCACTGCGCTCGGCAGGAGTCCTGGCACAGGACAGAGGGTGCCAAACCACATTCTAGAGAATGTTGTGTCTGGTTGACTTTGTCACCTACAAACCCCAAGATTATAAGGCTGCTGTCTAGAAAAACTACAAAGTATAAGACTAAGTGGTGAAAAACAGAAGGAGGTGGTTCCTGCAACTCAGTGCTTCAGCTGTGAAACTCAGGTCTGTGGGATGCTGGGGGTTAAGTCCATAATGGTTTAAGAAGTGGAATTTCTCTCACACGAACACCAAGGCCTATTAAATACCAATATATCAACTCTGGCACAGAAAGTACCCAGAACACAAACAGTTGAGAAAGCTTTTTTGGGGGGGGACAGGGGTGGAAATCATTGTCTATGTCATGCTCTTAACTAGAAAGTTGCTTTCGGCCATGCAGAAATAGAACACGTAGGGGGATGCACACTCAGGCCAAGCCAGTACAGCTGTCCTCGTTAGGAATAACACAGTGGGCTCCAGTTCCTTATGGAAGGAGTCAAACAAGACTGGCCATGCTCACCTGGATTATGCGTTGGATATTGCTCATGATCATGGAGGCTTCCATAGTAACAGAGGAGATACCAGGCAGCAGCGAGCTGTTAGCAGCGTTTTGTTTCTTCAACTCCTCCACCTGTAAGCACAAGGCATTTGTAAGTCAGGGGAAATGAGTTTATGGATGTAGGTAAGAGTCTGACATCTGCAAAGTTCTGCTTCACTCTGCCATCTGAGTAGCTGTAGGGTATATGCCTCTGTGTCACCTGCCACAACTCCTGAAGGGCAGTAAATGTCTCCAGACACAACACATCATACGAAAGTAAGAGTCAGCCACCCCTCCTAGTGCTGTCACTCCAGAGGGCTGTGCCACCACACAGCGAGACCTGGACAGGCTGGAACATTGGACAGAGAGGAACCTGATTAAATTCAACAAGGGCAAGTGCAGGGTGCTGCACCTGGGGAGGAATAACCTCCTGCACCAGGACAGGTTGGGGGTGACCTGCTGGAGAGCAGCTCTGAGGAAAAGGATCTACGAGTCCTGGTGGACAACACGATGACCATGAGCCAAGGCAGCCAATGGCATCCTGGGGGGCATCAGGAAGAATGTGAGCAGCAGGTGGAGGGAGGTCATCCTGCCCCTCTGCTCTGCCCTGGGGAGGCCCCATCTGGAGCACTGGGTCCAGTTCTGGGCTCCCCAGTTCAAGGAGGACAGGGAACTGCTGGAGAGGGGACAGCAGAGGCTACAAAGATGATGAGGGGCCTGAAGCATCTCCCTTACAAGGATACGCTGAAGGACTTGGGTCTTTTTAGTCTGGAGAAGACTGAGGGGGGATCTCATCAACACCTATAAACACCTACAGGGTGAGTGGTAGGAGGATGGGGCCAGTCTTTTTTCAGTGGTGCCCAGGGACAGGGCAAGAGGAAATGGGCACAAACTGGAACATGGGAAGTTCCACCTAAACATGAGGAGGAACTTCTTTGCTGTGAGGGTGGCAGAGCCCTGGCAGAGGCTGCCCAGGGAGGTGGGGGAGTCTCCTTCTCTGGAGACATTCAAACCCGCCTGGGCACGTGCCTGTGGGACATGCTCTGGGTGGCCCTGCACTGGCAGGGGGTTGGACTGGATGATCTCCAAAGATCCCTTCCAGCCCCACAGCATTCTGTAAGTCTGTGACAGCAGCCTCCCCCCAGCCTCATCTCAGCTTGCTCACAGTAGCTGAATTACTACCACTACAAGTTCTGGTAATACTGGAATTTTCCCTAAGTTTACGCATCAGGTATAAATGTAATGCTGGCATTTAAGTAGAGCCAGCTCCTCAGACCACATCTGGAGAGCAAAAAGCAGTAGTGTTGTTAGCAAGCTTGTCCATGCCATACATTACCTTGGCAGCCAGATGATCCATTTTATCTACTACTTTGCTAACAGCCATTCGGATTTCGGTGTTGTGCTGCCGAGCTTCCGTCATCAGAAAGGACGTAACATCCCCAGGTGCTTGAATGGAAAGAAGAGAGATCTACAGTCACAGGGGGAAAATGCCTGCACAGACACAGCAAAAGTGGTTTGAAGCCTGCCAGACAGGACAGCCATCTCTTCCCAGAAATAGATGGTATTTGGTAACGGTATCTGGAAAACTAATAACAGAGGTATTTTCCAAATAACATGAATAGGCAGGTTTATGACTACACGAAATTCTTGGGCCACGTGACAGCACTCGGGTCAACAAGAGGGAAGTGCCCAGAGCAAAAGAACAGTACACGAAGAGGTACAAACAACAGGAATGAAGGCTGGCTCCTGAAATTTTGAACTGAAAAACTGCACTCCAAGAAATGTTCAGCTACGCTCAAGTCTTCACCAACACAGGGATCACCTAAATGGTTCTTTAATTGCCTTCAGTCCTTCTTAGGCTGCACCTTATTTTGGGGTTATATCCTCCCACTTAGTGAAGGCTTAGTATGTACACTCAAAGGTACTTAGTATGTACACTCAAATTCTTTTCCTGGCTGGTGGGACAACTGTGTACTGTTACAGTTAGATTTGTAAATGGAAGCACCAGCTATGAAATACCTTTAGTAACACACAGCTTTGGGAAAATACCTAGAAATTCCCCCCCTTCCACAGTGCTTGAATTTCCTTGACGTAAGAAAAAGATGGATATTTATTAGGAAATGTCTGCCCCTATTTGGTATCCAAAAATAAGAATCTGGGAAACAGCACAGCATTACAGACAGGTGAACATGCTACCATTGCTGCTTAAACCAGCATTATAAACACTTCACTGCAGGTATTGCAGCCTTCTGAAAAGCATGTACTTTTTAAAATGTACCTTGGTAAGGTGTGGGATACATCTGTCCTACAGGCTGGAGCTGAGAAGCAGACGCAGCAGTTTGGGGGTAAGCAAATGCCATGCCTGGATACGCCTTGCGGAACAAATTCAACAGATTAGAATGGGTTTTGATATTTCTCCCCACTCACACTTAAGTGGTTTTCATGTTTTTTAAGCCCCAGAGCAATGACGATATTTGGGAAAAAAAAAACAAACAACCCACCAACCAAATAGAATTAGGGAGCAGGAAGTCAAATTACACAACAGTCATAGTAAAGGGAAAAAACCAAAGCCACTCTTCTTTCAAGGCTTAGATACGCGTTCAAGTTACCACAGCTTAATAAGTACCTTCTTTCCTGAAGTTTAAGCAAAAGCACGTTCCCCCTCATTTATGAGAGGCAAAGATCAGATGTGAACCACTCACTGCATCTTACTGGGTGTGCAGCAATCTGAAGTCACACTAAGTTGAGCACAAGGCTATTCCTAGGAAAGGCTCAAAACACACAACCCAACCAACTGGATTGTGGCTTTACTGCTCGGTGCTTATCAGAAGCAGCTACGCAGCCTGAAGAGTGTGTTAAATGCTGGGAGTACCTTACTCACTGCAATTTACTCTCTCAGGCAAGGTAAAAAAAAAAAAATTACAATACAACTTGTGTCAAGTTTCTAGAAGAATTCGGGATATCGGGGTCAGACTTTCAAAACAATAAATCCAAATCGCTGTCAGATTTAAACTTCACTTTAATGACTAGTTTCTATTTCATCAAACTGAAAAGCCTATCTTTTTTCATCTTGTTACTCGCCACAACTTCCTCATTCTCAATACAAGGAAAATGCGAAGCCAAAACAATGCACCAGGGTTTTTTTTTATGTTGGGTTTTTTTTGTGGATTTTTTTTTTTTTTATACATAGTGTTTGTTTTTATTACAAAATATTTTCTTCTTCTGCCTGGACCCTTTAAAAACAAACAGCACTTCTATGTGGCACAAGCCACTGATTTCCAAACCCTCCACATCACTGGTTAAGTAAAAATAACTACAGGAACCATAAGATAATAAGCTTGGGTTTAGAATTCACAGAAGTGTCTGTATGATAGCTTTGTACTCGGTTGTCACTACCTGATGTGACAAATAAATGGTGTGTTAAGCCCCCAGTTCCCCTGTTAGCAGGCAGATTGCTTCACTTTACAGCAGCCCCACAAGCCTTTTAAAAGGATTATTCTTTTGCCAGATGAAAAACCACGACCCACAAACCCCTTCAGTGTGCAAATGAGCTCTCACAGGAAAACAAGAAAAACTTAAACTAAAGGGCTTTTGTTTTCACCTGCTCTACAAGTACTTGGAAGTTTTTATCTTATCCACTACGAAAGCAGATACTAAACAAAGTCTGGTTAATTCTTAGTTCCATTGTAAAAAGCCACCAGCAGGCAGAAAAGTAGCCTTTTTGATTAAATTTTAAGAGGCATTTGTTTCCAAACCTGAGAATGCCAAAGAAGAGTCAGAAGCAGCAGCCTGGGATTCTCACCCTTACACGCTGCTATAGAATTCCTGCTCCCAGCAAAGAAGATGACAGTAAGATTTCTGAGGAAGGACAGAAGTGCCAATATTCTTGATTTCGTTTTGGTACCTGAAAGCCCTGTGTCCCTCCAGGCAGAGCTGAATGGGGCTGGATGGTCGCAGGTATCAAAGCAGCTGAAGATACCGGGGGTGTAGAGCCAGATGCTTGAGGTACTGAAAGGGAAGAAAGAAATTCAGCGTGCCACAAAGTCGCTAGAAATAATTTAACTCACTCAGCATGAAACACAAAATTATTTAACACCAGCCTGTCTGCAGCCTTGTGAAAACTAAATCCAGTCAACCAAGTGATAAAAGGTCAAGAAAAGCGTCATCTTTCACAGAAATTTCACTTCTAGCTACACTTAGACAACCTCTTTCACTCCAACAAAGGTGGCTCTGAAGTTTCCTGACACAAGACATTACTCAGACCGACTCTACCGACTGCTCAGCTGAGCAGCAGCTGACCCCATGGTTCCATCATGGGAATACAGGCAAAGCCCACTCCAGAGCTGCCCTGGAGTGCTCTGATGCCCTTCGCTATTATTTCCATCATTTTCAAACAAAAAAAAATTCTGCTTGCTGGGAAAGGGTTTGTAACAGGTCCGTTTACAAATCTCATGTCCTAGAAGTCTCAGTGCTACCCAGCACACAGAATGACAGAGCAGCTCCCACACTGCAGCTGCTCCTCCTCAAGCAATAACGTGAACACAGGATCATGATGAATCTACTCCAAGGAATTCCATCTTGTGCTTTATGAATGAATCTACCTTTGGATCAACAAGGTTATTAGAAGTATCTACCAGGTCCTGTGGCAGCTCCCAAAAGGCACCCTCTATTCACACCGCCCTTGTACTTGAAACCTGCGAGGAGGTGACATTTCTCTGCACCAGCCCCAGCCTGACCAGCACACTACCTTGTGTGGACACTGTGGGCAGCACGGCGTGAGCTGGCTGTGATGGTCTCACTGAAGATGAAGCCACAGGTTGCGCCGTCCCTCTCAGCGTATTTGGATCCTAAAAAACATTTCTGCATGTTACAAAAGAACGAGCAAACACTTTGACCCCAAGGTCACTTGAGGCTGGGTGTTACCCAATTAACCCAACTGAACTACACCAAACAGTGGAATCATTAAAGCCTTTTGCCACGGAAATAGCGAACAAAGGGAGAGCTATTGTTATGGGCTCCTTTCTGTGGAATTCATGCTGAGGAAAAGGCATCAGCCAACACTTATGGGACTGGTGATGTACCTCAATTTCCGAGTCACTGGAGTCGAGCTGGCTCCCCGCTGTCCCGGCCAGGAAAGGCAGCATGGGCTGTCCCATCTTGGCCATCCGAGAGATGAGCTTCGCCTTTGCCACGTCTGGATTCTAGAAGAAACCTTTGCAGTTACTCCTTGTCTCTCAGCCCAGGCTTTTCAGACATTGCAGAGACATTTATCAGGATTAGACTCTTCTAAGTCACTTAATTATTCTGGTTCTTCCAATTTTTCAGTGACCGAAAAAATGATTTTCAGGCACACAAGGTAACACCATTGATTTGTAAATCTGGCTTGATTTATATACTCTCCTTCTGAAATGACATTGCTGTCATTGCATAGGAAGATCTATCCCTGCACAAAACACAGCAACAAGAAGATTAACAATTAATCTTTCAGTGACCGAAAAAATGATTTTCAGGCACACAAGGTAACACCATTGATTTGTAAATCTGGCTTGATTTATATACTCTCCTTCTGAAATGACATTGCTGTCATTGCATAGGAAGATCTATCCCTGCACAAAACACAGCAACAAGAAGATTAACAATGTGTTAATTGAGGAAGCTCTTTAGAAGCTTCTTCTGTCCTGAGGCACATGCTAGAAGTCGTCTTCTCAGGTAGGTGTATAAACTTACACTGAATGGCCCAATTATTCTTTGTGATCCATTTTAAATTTCTCCATTTATCCAAGAAGACAATTAGCCATGTGAGTACCCACATGGTCCAGGTAACTGTACATTTAAGAGCAGGAACTGAGACTGAGGTTCCTCACATTCTACTAATCCCTTCAAAAGCACGGCCCTGACCTGCTGTTGATAAGGTGAACGTTTCAGAGTGTCTCAGTGGTGTGATGTTCACTTTATCTTCAGCACCACTGAACGCAGAGGTGAAACCAACCAACCTTCCCTACTTCAGGCTTCCAATTCATCAGGAAAAAAACTCAACAGCACTTACTGCTAGTTGTTCACTGATGGAGTTTGACTTGGCCCGAACAGCCGGTTCCCTGAAAAGCCAAAGGGGTGCACATTGATATTGGAGACAACACAGATGAAATTCAGCATCCAACACTCTGCATTTCCAAATACTGTCAAACACACCTCCCTCTGAGGAACACCATTTTCTTGTATTGTGACCATTTCTTTTAGCTGACTTTTGGAAGATTCTTTACAATAGTATCTGTAGATTTTGAACATCATTACGAGCAAGTTCCATGGCTGTAGAACAGCTGACTACAGCAAAATGATGTTGATTGACCCTGTTCTGGTACAATTTTAACCAAGTCCAATAACAAACCTCTTACGGCAACAGAACTAGCACTTATACTTGAACTCCTCAGAAAGGATGACTGACCCAGTGAGTTAATTTAAGAAACAAATAACAGTGTAAAATTTGCAATTAAGCAAATTGGCCATTACCCAAGACCAACTTATGACTATGCTGCCGCCTGAGATGAGAGCAGTTGTATCAGCACCCATGCAGGTAAATCACGCCTGTCTGGAGAGGAATGACTTCTTTCATTTGTGCTCATCTCTATTTCTTTAAAACTGCAAGTCAGCATTCAAGCAGACAATTTCCTGCAGTTCTTGCTAGCGAGCATTTCTCTGCCACACCTGTGGGACAGAGGTCCTACATTTGCCAAACAGAATCACAGAATCTTCTAGGTTGGAAGGGACCTTAAAGATCATCTTGTCCAACCGTCAACCTGACTGAGAAAAATAAGACCCCCACACAACAAACAAGGAGCATCATCACTAAACCAGACCTCCCAGCACTACATCAACCCGTCTTTTGAACACCTCCAGGGATGGTGCCTCAACCACCTCCCTGGGCAGCCCAGTCCAATGCCTGAGAACCCTTTCAGTGACAAAATGTTTCCTAATATCCAGCCTGAACCTCCCCTGGCGCAACTTGAGGCCATTTCCTCTTGTCCTGTCACCTGTGACTTGAGAGAAGAGACCGACCCCCATCTCTCTACACCCTCCTTTCAGGGAGTTGTAGAGAGCAATAAGGTCTCCCCTCAGCCTCCTCTTCTCCAGGCTGAACACCCCCAGCTCCCTCAGCCTCTCCTCATAAGACTTATTCTCCAGACCCCTCCCCAGCTTTGTCGCCCTTCTCTGGACCCGCTCCAGCACCTCCATGTCTTTTTTATGGTAGGGGGCCCAAAACTGGACACAGTACTCAAGGGGAGGCCTCACCAGTGCCGAGTACAGGGGGACAATCACCTCTCGGGCCCTACTCCCCACGCTGTTCCTGATACAGGCCAGGATGCTGGTGGCTTTCTTGGCCCCCTGGGCACACTGCTGGCTCCTGTTCAGCGATGTGGGAATGCAGCACTGTGTCAGATGTTAGTGAGCATTCCCATCTTCCCATAGAGAAATGTGTTTTAACTGTGCTGCTCCTCACCCGGGCTTTGGAGGTATCGTAGATGGAGGCAAGAAACCAGTGTCTGCAGAGAAGCCGTCGGAATTGGGCACTGGAGAAGGTGCAGCAGAATCTCTTGAACTCAGGCTCTGTCCATCCGAAGCAGAGCATTCCTTCACCAGCTTCACCTTAAAAAGCATGGAATAAAACAGATGTTTTTCTGGGTTCCCAAAAAAGTTTTCAGCAATTTGTTACTTTTGATGTCTGCTCCTTTAACAAGCTCATGTGCTTCAAGTAAAAGCACAGAACTGATTCAGAACTGGAGAAGCTGAGTCTTCATATCCTGTTAGTCCTCATTAAGAGCATTTTTTTTCTCAAGTGACTCACAAATAAGACAATGCAAAGATCCCAAGACAGTTAGAACAGACATGTCTTAGTAAACAGCCTAGAGGGATTTTAGGGGTTTAGGAGTTTGTGTTTGTTTGGTTTTTTTTTTAAATTAAAGATCTTCCTGAGGTATGTGGTTTATAACAGTTTCTGCGCTGTAGTTCTCAAGCCAACAGCAGCTCCTCACCCCGCAGACAGACGCTGCCACCCAGCAGGTACAAAGCAGATGTGAAACAAACTCTTGGCAGGAGACACTCACCCGTCTCACCTCCACCTCGAACACCAACGTGGAGTCTGGAGGGACACGGCCAGCCACCCCCTGGGCCCCATAGGCCCACGCTGGAGGAATAATGAGGTACCTTCGTCCTCCTTTCTTCATCCCCATCATTCCTTCTTCCCAGCCCTTTGGTTTCCAGAGACGTAACAAAAGAGAAAGTGAACAGTTTGATCACCAACTTCAGACTTTCTTTTAATTACACTGATTAAGACTGCTTCAGGCAGAAGATTCCAGAACACAGAGAGAGATTCTTGTAGAATCCTATTCATTCTGAGTCTGCGGCACTAAACCTTTGTCTTACAGAGAGTCATAATGGCCAATTATAAATTGCAACATTAGTTTGAGAATAAAGATGCAGCTCCCAACACGTTGATAACGAAATCAAACAGATACAGCAATCTCTAGCCTGAAGGCTGGAGGCTTCCAGGTCTCCATATGGTTCCAGAAACCTGGTTAAAGTCTTAAATATCAGAAGTTAAGCAGCTCTCACAGATCACACTGATTTCCTGGAGAAAGGAATTGCATGCTATGCTGTGTGCTCAAATTCTGCAGTTGTGTGCAGCTTGCAGGGCACACAGTGGTGACCTCTCTCCACATTCTGGGAAAGGATGAACTCCATGTCATTGAGAGATCATTTCTGAGTTACTATGGTCAGATTTACAAAGCACCCACAGAAAATGGTTGTACCAAAGGAGATTTAGAAATTAGAGCAGTGCAAACTGTCAAATGGATGCCGCGATTTCACAGGATGACCACTTCATCCAGGCAACATTAATAAGATACACGTGAAAAACCCACAAAGTAGAAAATTAGTGTAACTTCAGTAAAGAATAACTTGTAACAGGTCATATATGAATTACTTGGGTAATGTAAGTGGCCTGAACACAAGCATCTCCAATTCACAACCTGATTTTATGGAATAACATAAGGGAGCACCACACCACCTGGACTGAAAAATTACTACAATCAAAACCCTCATGAACGAACTTAGTAAAACCACTCTTGGCAGCATCTTTACTAGACCATCCTAAAACTTGTCCTTTGTCTTCACCCTCTCATGCCCTTCTCCCAGCTGTTGTACCAGAGCTATCGCCTGCTCTGCTTCTGAGGCACATTGAGGGGGAAGGAATCTGAAGTTCTTCTCAAATTGAAATCCTCCCTTAGAAATGGCATTCCCCAAGGACAAGACAATGGCTTAAGTGACAAAAAAACCCCCAAACCCCAGCTCTTGAAAACAGGAAGCTTTTCTTTTATCAAACAAGACCCTTTCTAACTCTGCCATTGACAAGGAGCCTTGGTATATTGTGCAAATTAAGAAAATAGAGTTTGAACAAGTCACTGTTACAGTGTTTCCTACCAAGTGAAACATGTAACAGAACTATCATATATGAATCCTGAACAAAACCTTAATTCAAACTCGGAGACTTCAATTATTACAATGAAAGTGCCAGAAGTTCTACCTTGATGACCTTCCCAGATCCCAGCTTCAGCCGCAACAGCTTGTCCTTGTTCACATTTGAGTCAAACACCTAGAGAGTTGAACAAAAACCACAGAATACATGAATTTCCCAACAGTTTCAGAATTCCGCACGCTACTTTACGTATTCCATGAACTCTTACAATCTCTTATGTGCTATTTCCCATTCTGCTACTTCCAAAATTAACTCTCCACAGACATAAGACAGAGCGTGGCCAGAGCTTCTAGCCCATTGCACAGTACAATTTCTTGAACTGGATGAGAGCTGGAGACTTTAAAACTGCTTTGAGCTTGACGGTCAGGACAAGACTGGACCAAGTAAAACACTACACAACAGGCTTATCTCAAACAGCAAACAACTGTCTAGAAGTTTTGTACATTAAACTAAGACATATGCAGCTGAACAACTCTTTCAGGAGATTACAAGTAAGCTCTGCTACGTGCCAGTGGTACGTAGAGAGAAGCATGCCAGGCAGACTAAGAAAAACAAAAAAATCCCCTAGATATGAAAACCCAAAAGCCCTTTTTTTATAGCAAAGAGATTCAACTGCAGATGGATGCGAATGCAAAACTCTTTGCCATGAATTTCACTAATAGTAAAACCAGAAGTGTTTTAAAGGTAATGCTTTGAAACATCAAAGCATTTCTTCTGTTTATTAGCAACCTGGATTGGACACAGCTGCAAGAGGATGTAAAAGCAATCCTGTTCTGTTAATATCTGGAGATGTGCTTTGTGTCAGACAAGGCTCTTCTTATCCCTCAAGCCGTTTCCAAAGGAGCACAGTTCCTTCTACCCCTTCATTGTCCCTTGTCACCATTTTCATTAACACTAACATGTGTGAGTGCCTATGAATGCTTAAAGCATCTTAATCTCCTCCTGAACAGTATGGAATCCCTTATTATTCTACAGATAACACATATGGCCTCACGTAGGGTGCCCTAAGTGACTGAAAAACCACCTTTAACACCACCAGTACTGTGCTAGATGCAGCAGATTCTTTCCAGGGATCATCACACTCACTCAGGATTAGGAGAAATGTCCTTACCTGTCCAAGCCCGTTGTTCTGGAAGAGCCAACCCGTGTAGGCAACTTCCAGAGAGTCTCCTGCTTCTACTCCCTGCCCTTCTCCAAGGAGGAGATCCTGGCAGAGGACCGAGTCGAGCCCTGGGGAGCTGTTGCATTTGGCGATGCAGACCTGTGGAAGGGAAGTTTGTCAACATCCCTGGCCACGAAGAGAGCGGCAAGTTCCACTATCACTCGTTACCAATCTGATCCATTTCTTACTGTTCTGACCAAGCCCAGGTTACAGACACACTTAAGAGGCATTCCGTGTTCCCTTGTGCCAGAGCCATTGGTCTTACAGCACTTGAGAATCTTGATTAGAAATCCCATGGGAAGTAACAGGCTCCCTGCCTCTGAGACCCGTGGCTGATAAACAGAACTCAGCCAGGCTCATCACGGATCTGCCTCAATCGGTGACGCAGACACTCAAAGCTGAACTTCAATAAAAAAAGCTTTTACAGCCCTTCAGCAATAAGGTGCTCTCAGAGATACGTCCTGATTTGCCCGTTGTTCCAAACGGGCCAGCAAGTCACACCTCACACAAACGGAGTAAGCAGTTACCTGTTTACTGAAATCCATCGCTGCCTTTTCTGATTCAAACATGATGGACCAGTTTTGTCTCTGATCATCATAGAAGGTACTGTAATTGTTGGGTTGAACCTGTGGGAAAGGAAATCAGTCCTGTGTTATACATGAACAGATGTTTTCAACTAAAATAAAAAGAAATTCCACATCCAAAAGAAACTTTAAGAGGTACTGAAATTAAGCGGAGGCAGAACCCCGCTGTATGACCACCCCCGGTCAGAACACACAAATTAGCTTTGATTTATTGCTCGTTATAATAACTCAAACACTTCAGCAAATAGATGTAGCATCTTCATAGATGCTGCAGCTTTAACAAGGTGGTGAAAGCTTTCACAAGGTTCTTTGAGGCTCGGTTATATAAAATACACTGAGATTTTTAAGTGCAAGTAATCTCCTTTTCATAAGCGTTGATTCTATTCAGACTTCCAGAACTGATTGGAGGAGTCACTCTTTCCTCACTTCTAAAAATCCATGTCATTGCTAGCTGAGTACATAACCCATTAATCTTTCAAAACGTGCTTATAAAGCTGAAGAGCAAATTAGCATCCTGACCAGAAATTTGGACTGAAATTCTATTTCAGAGTAGAATCTCCATCTATCTAATCAAGAAATTTTATGTCAAACTATGACAAACTAAGAGCACAAGCCAACACACCGATTTTCTGGAAAACTGACAGAAACCAGAACTTCCTGAGAGATCCCATTTTAGGGCTTACAATGCTCCAAATTGTTCTTATCAGCAAGAAAATGCTGAGTGTCAAATTTCTGAGAGAAAACACTTCCTCGCTATCATTTCCTTCTGCTTGCTCAGCCCTGTTCTCTCAGGCACTTCACTACAAACTCTAAGCAAGAGGAATTTTGTTCTGTTTTTATCCATTGTAGGACTGCAAAACTCAAAATATCTCCTCTGAGATCTAGAAGTGATAATACACCTCCTACAGCATATGCACCTGCACACTGAAATCTACCAATGAAGTGCTCTGCAAAGGCAGATGCAACAGTCTCTTGTGCAACACGTGAGGAGGAGGAGCAGAACGGTCACTGTGACATCTCCTGCTGTGCCAGGCACATGTTTGATCTCAAAGGCTATCATCAAAGACTTACGAAAGCATTTTAGAGTCAACTCCCTGGTTGCTGTGAACGACACAGATCACGGGATGCTTTCCTAATCCAGACTCTTACCGTGAGCACGAAGCCCGGATGGATCCTTGCAGTTGCGATCTGCTGCTGCTGACTGATGTAAAGGAGGATCCTGTACTGGATTCCACAAGGAATTGGCCAGAGAAGAAAAACAAACAGCAGAAACTCAAAACTTCTTCAATTCTAATGTGCTTTGGTAAATTCTGAGCCTAAGGCTACAGTATTTATTGGCCAAACACACCTTGCAGCAACATTTTTCACAGCAAAAATACTTAACACTGTATTTTATACACCAATTAAAACCCCTCGAAAATATGCAAGCTTTATTTAGCTACAGGAACCAAGCAATTCAAACTAATTATTTTGCAATAAGCAAGATGCTTTACCTCATTCCACATTTTTCACATTTACTGCATAAAAAGATGGTGCACTAACCCTTGAATACATAGAACTCATGGTATACAGGCAAAACCAATGTGAGATTGACTAATAATAAGTTGGAGGGAACTTTCCAAGTACTAAACAATGCAGATATAACGTTATATTGACATATTCAGCTCTACTAGACATGACCTGGTGAGGAAAAGTGCTTTTCTAATGGCTCCTTCCCTCCGCACAGCCGTGCAGAGCTGGGATTGAGCCACCAGCCCCAGGTGCAGTATCTGAGCTTCCTCTGCCAGCCCCGTCCGTCCCAGCTCCCCCACAAACTCCACTCCTGAACACCTCTCACAGCAGGGACTCAGGAATTTGTTTACTAAACTGCTATTTTATTTGTTCTTGCCAAAGCAGAAGCTTAGTGAGACAACGCGGATTAGAGACTGGGGGATAGGAACACCATAAATACCAACATCAAGGACAGATCAGAGCACTCAAAATATGTTTTTAAACACACTGATTTACTGAACGCTCCAGTGGAAGGATTGGAGAGGAGAGATATTTTTGATACCAAAATAACAAAACTTAAGCAAAGCATCTCTGTACTATTGGACAAAATTTTGCTTTATGTTCATTTCTACATGCACAGATTTGTGATCCAGTTGTCAAAAACATTCTGAATAAAGATCAAAATCACTTCCAGATACATTAGAAACTTCCAGGCACAAGTTGTAAGAGATTTCAGGCACAAGCTGTAAGAGATCTCCCAAACTTGTGGACAGCAGGAAGGGAAGATATCGCCAAGATAAGCCATAAGCAAACCCAGGAGGGCAGGAAGAGCGCAAGCACCAGCAGAACTAAGACCCCCAGCAGCAAAAGCAAAGGCATTCTGGTGAGCTCAGAGAAACACTGCCTCATACCAGTGCGCTCCGGGCACGAAAACGTGACGGTAGTGAAGTGTTTCTCACCTCTTTAGTAGCATGGTTCCCCACCACAGCTGCTCCATACTTGCCTTGCTTCAAGTACTGCCCGTTTGTACTGGAAGACAAGCGAGACATTCAGCTGCAGAACCATCCCTGCCTCAGGTTTCTCTCTACTGTTGCTGAGTTTTTCCTCTTTATGATTCAGGGCCCTTTCCTCCTGACTATTCATGTTAGGCAACCTTTCTCAGCTTAAAGAAACCACAGCTGTCTTGCTCACTCACAGATCACAGAAGCACACACTATGCAGTTTGAGTTGAAAACTACTCTTTTCATAGATCCAATTTTCACAGACCAAATCCATAGATGGGTTTTTATGTGATGGCAGTGTCAAACGGACAGAGAGTTTTACTGCTGTTACTCGGGCCTCAGTTCATTGTGAGGAAGCCCATGAGACATAAACATCTGACAGAGCTGCCTGGAAAAAGTGCAAATGTCAGGCCAGGGCCCCAGGATGCAGTTCCCTGTAACAGCCAAATCCAGAACTTGCTATTTATTTGACAACTGCATAAACTCAAACTGCAGCACAATAACCAAAACTTTATTTAAGTAGATACTTGCATGACTTGCAGCATTTGTTCCAAGCAGACACGTGTCTATAAAGCAATGGTCTCTTCCCACTCATCCAAAAATATCTTCCCTTTGCAATTAGTTATTAAGCTCCCAGAGATGCCAACTCTCAAGGTAACGCAGGAAACCATCATTGCACTTACTATCGATAAGCGTGAACCGCGGTGGCCACAAACACCGATGGTGCCCCTGAAGCTGCCGGGGCCACAGGAGCCTTCTGGGCTGCCTGACCTGCTGGAGAATGAAAAGCAGGAATTACCTCTCAGTGACACACAACTGCCACGGCCAGCAACAACGCCACCACACATCCCTTCCCCCAAGGAAAAAATAACTCCAGCAGAGGGTTACAACGCAAAAGGTGATACTGCAAAGTCACTAAAGGATTCTAGAGCAACCAGGTGCAGAGCAGGTACTAATGGAAGAGAATATCATTAAGAATATCATTAAAGGAGGCTGAGGGGAGACCTTCTCGCTCTCTCCAACTCCCTGAAAGGAGGGTGTATCCAGGGGGGGTCGGTCTCTTCTCCCAAGGAACAAGCGATGGGACAAGAGGAAACAGCCTCAAGTTGCACCAGGGGAGGTTCAGATTGGGTATCAGGAAAAATGTTTACACTGAAAGGGTTATGAAGCCTTGGAATGGGCTGCCCAGGGAAGGGGTTGAGGCCCCATCCCTGGAGGGATTTAAAAGACGGGTTGACATGGTGCTTAGAGACACGGGTTAGTGATGGGTTTTATCAGAGTTAGGTTGATGGTCGGACTTGATGGTCTTAAAGGTCCCTTCCAACCTAGTCAGTTCTACGATTCTACTATCATTAAAGAAAAGCTAAGCGAGTTATTTGCACTGCTGCTCTTCACAAAGGCCCTCATTCTCCCAGCAAGACACGTGCTGCACAGTTTCTCTCCCCTCCTCAAGCCCAGTTTCTCACCAGCTGCCGTTTGACCCTTCTTAGGCTGCTTTGGGGCCGTGTACTGGAAGAATTCATTTCCCTGGCTTGAGACCGTTTGATCCAGACCAAAGAGAGAGGCCAACCTGGCACTAGAAAAAGAAACAAATTAATTCACCTTATTTAACATGGGCTTTATAGATAAGGAACACCATTAATTATAAGTTATAACGTGGTTACCATCACTTTAGAGATAAGCAAAGGGATGGACGTTAAGCAGCTCTAGACTAAGCAGCCACTTAATTTTGAATAAGCAGAACTTTTAGACGAAGAGGCCGGGTTAAGTAGCATGACTGTGTTTCATTTCCTCAAAAGCTACTGCAAGGAACAAACAAGGGCGAAAGCTACACCAAAAAGGAAGTTACTTTAAAGCAATGGCTCAGACTACCCTCATACGGAATAGCTGATCGTTACAATATTGCAAAAAAAAACCCAAAACCGACATGGTAACAGAGAAGCCACCATTCAGCACCAGGGCTTTTCTTCATGAGATGTCTCCCGTTAAGTTTTATGCTCTTTGGTCGAAGGGCAGAAGGTTTAACGCTGCAGACAAGCAGTTTTACTGCTTTAAGCCCATTTAAGCTCCCCTACCCCTGGTACCACAGGACGAGCGAACAATTCAAACCACAGAGCAGAGTCCACAAAGGACAACACCACTGACAGTGCATCGGCAGCATTTTACATGAGATGCTTTAAAAAAATAATCATTTACTAAAGAGAAGAGAGGACCAGTTTGTGAGAGGGGCAGAAGAGCAGTTCCGTGGAGAGGGCGAGGAGGGAGCAGAGGGATCCGCTGGGGCCCAGGAACCTTCAGGTGGCACCAAGTCACAGTGTGTGAAGAGCTGAAGGTGCCACATGTCAAAATGACACCAAGAAAAGCTGAAAAGTGCTGAACCCGCTTGAAGCGGCCGTTCTTGTTTAACAATCCCTCAACCTGGCCTTTTCAGGACTTTCCATTATACCCTTATTTAAGTGAAAACGCCCCATTTCCCCACCACACGCCCCGAGCAGCCGCCCCCATCCCCTTCTGGAAGGGGCTCAGGGAGAAGGGCCCCTCAGGCGGCGGGCTCGGCCCCGGAGCCCCCTCCCCACCGCCGGGCCCCCCGAAGGGCCTGTTCCGGACACCGGGCTGCCCCTCCGCCCCCACCGGAGCTGAACCCCGTCACGGGAGGGCGGCGGCCCGACCCCGCCGGGCGGTTCTGCCCGACCAGAGAAGCCCCCGGGGAGCGGGGAGGGCCCCGCAGGCCGTGATCCCCGCTCAAACCCGGCCAGCCTGGGCCGCCGGGCCCTCACGGCGGCGGGGAAGGGAAGGGGTGGCCCCGCCGGCCGCTCACCCGCTGGCGGGGGACAGGAAGTCGGCGTCGTCCTCCTCCGCCGCCCCGAACATCATCACGGACCGGCCGCCGCCGCCGCCGCCGCCCTCCCGCGATGTCGTAAAACGCGTTGCCCGGCAGCGCCGCGCTTTCCGGCAGCGGCGGGACGGGAGCGGCGCGGGGAGGGGAGGGGGAAAAGGAAGGGAGGCCGCGCGGGG